TTTCACGTGGGAGACCAGTGTTCAACTTGGAAGTCTTGACCCAAAAGGGAGTTGCAGTGGGGTCACAAGATTATTTTAGGGGGGTTGTGGTATTGCCACCCTTACTTCTGCGCTGCCTTTAGAGCTAGGAAGCCAGAGAACGGTGGCTGTTGGCCAGGTGCCCAGCTCTGAAAGCAGTGCCCTGCCAGCAGCAGAGCAGAAGTAAGGGGTGGCAATACCATACCATGGCACTTTTACTTCTGTGCTGCAACTGGTGGCGGCTCTGCCTTCAGAGCTGGGCTCCCGGCCAGCAGCCACCGCTCTCCAGCTGCCCAGCTCTGAAGGCAGCGCCACCGCGAGCAGCAGCGCAGAAGTAAAGGTAGCAGTACCACAACCCCCCCTACAATAACTTGACAACCCCCCAACACTCCTTTTTGGGTCAGGACCCCTACAATTACAACACTGTGAAATTTCAGATTTAAATAGCTGAAATCATGAAATTTATTATTTTTTAAATCCTATGACTGAAATTGACCAAAATGGACTGTGAATTTGGTAGGGCCCTACTAATGGCTAAATAAACAAACATTTGCTAAGTCAAGAAATCTATATTGTTGTTCAGCCTCATTTGGTGTACAGCTGTAGATCCAATGAAATCAGTGGGGGTTAGGTGCCTAAATACCTTTTGAGAATCTGGGTTGTAGAGACCAGAATCATATTCCTGATCTTTCTTGGCTTCTGCAAAACTTCTCTTGTTCTCATTTAGAGCCATGCATTGAATTTTTCAGGCCATAGTTTTAACCAAGGCTAGTGCCTGTACTCTGGTTAGCTGAAAAATTGCGTTTGACAGTTCAACTCACAAACATTCTCCTAAAAATAAACTTAAGCACCACCTATTATTCCTGCCTCAAGGAATATTCCCTATTGAAGTGCTGAATATATGCTATGCCCTTTGATCTTTTCCATCTCTTGTGTGAAGTTGTTTTAAATAATTTATTCATTCATATTCTTAGCTACTCTATTCTTTTGCTTATGTTGCCCTTTATAGTTCTAGACAACACGTTTTGGGGGTAATGATGATAAATCCAATTAATAAAGTAGTTCAGTGAATACATTACGACAGATTTTAGATTTCAGCTAATAATCATACTTAGCAGATCTATATAAACCTTCAGTGCGCTCTGCAAACATTGGATGAAAAGCATCTCTTATGTAGAGTTCATTCAGAAACTTCAGTGGGCTCACAGCAAAGTTGAATTTGGGCTCATCGACTGATTAATCCTATCTCCAAATCCGCAGTAAGATATGTGAGTAAATATTGTTATCCTAACTTTGCAGATGGGGAATTTGAGGCAGAGAGGTTAAGTGACTTGCCCCATGGCCACAGAGAGAGCCAGGGTCAATGCCTGGTGTGTTCCTTTTTAGTTTAGGGTAATAGCATCCAGCATTCCTGTAGCTTTCTGAATTTTAACCATATATGGATATTTTTCCTTGTACAATGTGTGCACAGGAGTCTTCTATAAAATGACTATTTTTGTCCATGGTACATTAAATCTTAATGACACAAAACAGCTGATGAGCCATAGTGCACTAAAAACATGCAGGGTATAAATATTAAATAGATTGTATGTTCTGTGGGGGCTTTTAAAATGTATTTTTGATAAAATTTTTCTTTTTTAATTTTAGGCAGGATCACCAATGAAGAAGCGCAGGGCATTAATTACAGTCTCAGATTTACAAAGCATTAATCTGAGACCTAAATCCAAGCTCCTACCAGGTCCCATTACAAACCTCCTAATGTAAGGAACTTTCTACATTCTTTGATGTCACAGGGAAAAGATGGTATATGTTCAGAATAATAATCATCACTGATAGTACTTCAAAAATGTTGGTTTTAACATTTTGTTGTTTTTTATCAGCACTCCCAGCAAAAATCAAATAGACCTTAGAAAACATCTTAAGAAAGTCAATATTCAGAGGTAACTTCCTTTCTGTTTTCTTTTGTTTTTTAATTAATCAGAAATTTAAGAATAATACTCCTTACCATTTTTATGATCTCCTCAGGAGTCCTGGTGGAACTCCATTAACTAACAAAGAAAACATGGAAACCGGCACAGGATTGACTCCAATAATGACACAGGCACTGAGGCGCAAATTTCAGGTAAGACATTGTGTTTGTCAGTTTCTTGTTGCATAAAGTTTGGTTGGAGTTTTAAAAGCCCAGTATAAGATATTGTTCCAAAATGTCATCATATAGCTTGGCAGTGGGACGTGAAAGCTCTTGGTGCCTCATACAGCTGAGCCCATAATTACTACTACTCATAATAGTGACACTTATCTTGAATAAAACTTTTCCCCCATAGATCTTAGTGGTTTATAAAGGAGGGACATTATTCCCATTTTACAGATGAGAAAACAGCCATACAAAGGTGATGTGATTTGACCAAGATCAACCAGGAGGTCATGAGCAGAGCTGGGAGCAGAAGTCTGGTCTCCTGATACCCAGTCGACTGCCTCATGCTACCTACCACTTAGTTAATGTATGTTCAGTACTTTGAGAATGTAAAGAATGCTAGAAGTGCTAAATATTATTTGTAGCATACAAAACAAACTTGAATCTTGGAATTTAATTCAAAGCATAATCAAGTGCTCAAAATAGATGCACCGCAGGCGGGATTCTTCATCAACGTGGCCTCTGCATCCTCCAACGTGTGGGGAACAACACCCTTGCAGAGTCTCCCCCTGTGTTCCCTTCTCCCTTAGAGTTCTTTTCTCAGAGGATTTTAAAATTTAGGAGGAGGAGCTGAGGTGATAGGGGTTGGATGGCACTTCTATAACTTTGATTGCAAACATTTGGGGCTCACATGAGATGGGGCTTATTTAGGGTGCTGCTTTCTAGATGTCTCTGAGGCTCAGTGGTTGCAGGAGTACACCCCACAAGTGGGAATATGCAGAGGTTCTCAAAGCCTATGACGATCATGGTGGTAGCAGCTTTTTGAACACCAAAAATACCCCAAAAACAATAAGCTAAAAATAAGACTGCTGCTGACACTGGAAAGAAACTGAGGATTACAAATGTTATACATGTTAGGAATCCTCTTGGACTAGGTGTTCGCTTACAGTTAGGATGCGATGAATAAGAAGTACCCGCTAGTAAGTATGTAATTGTTTCTGAAATCTAAATTCTAACTTGGTTCTTATTTTAACAGATGGCTCACCCAAAGACTCCCTCTCCAGCTCGGTTACATACTGCAAGCGGCTTTGATGAACAGAACTAGATCTGTGCTGCAATATTTTTGTCAATTGAGGGCCAGGTAGCTACTTGTCTAACCCCAATTTTATATCACTAAGGGGTAAACAATTTGTTATTTTAAGTAAGTTTAGCACACATAAAAAGTGCCATGTTGATGGTCCTCGGGGGGAAGTCTTCTATCCACAGAAGGTACAGCCTTCCACCGAATGTCCTAATGTGTCTCAGTCTTCACACTGGGGTAACTCTTCAAATGATGAGAAGAGAATGGAGTCTCTTTGGTCCTTTGGAACATTGACTTCTTCTGAAACTTCCAAAAGTGCTGTCTTTTTGTGATATAGATGCATATGTACAAGGAAGTAATTTAAACTTAACGTTGTTTGTCTTACATTTTTTTAAAGATGACTTTGGCAATACTTGTAATGTTAGAGGGAAAAAATTCAAGAGGAAAGTAATTTAAGACTCCAATGTTTCCTGTAACAAATAGGTTTGCAATTTTTTTTTATAAATAATAGTTATGTGGCTCAATAAGAAAGTATTATTACAGTTTTCCAGCATGTACCATTTTGGCTTGTGTTTACATTAACATACCCAATTTGAGACACCAGTGTTTAGAGCCAGGGGACTGGAAGTGAGGAACTCCTACGTTCCTGGCTCTCCCACTGACTTGCTATGTGACCTTCTGCATGGTCACTAAATGTGTCTCAATTTCCCCATCTGCAAAATTTGGCTTATGATACTGACCTCACAGGAAGGTTGCGATAATTAACTAATAATATTAATGAAGTGCTTCAAAATGGAAAGCTCAGAGGTCCTAATTGATGTTTTAGGAATGGAATGAACATACTTGGTTCCTAAACAAATATATAGTTACTGTAAGCCACCTTAAACTCCTACTGCCAATATCCAGTCTTGTTTATTATAATTATTACATGTTTACATGGCATATTTTCCACCAGTGATTACACATTTCCTATTGTATTAACTTGAAACTAAACCACTGAAATAGCCCTGATCATTCTTTTTATATATAAAAATAAACATGAATGTTGACAGGCTGGAGTTTATTTCCTTTTAATTGAATATGCAAACATAGGTGCTAGAACTAGGGGTGCTGCAGGATCCCCTGGCTTGAAGTTGTTTCCATTATATGCAGGGTTTACAGTTTGGTTTAATGGCTCTCAGCACCCTCACTAGAAAAATTGTTCCAGCACCCCGTATGCAGTTTCGAGGGGGGAAATGAGCTGGAACAAGTGGAAATTCCCCTAGAATTCCACTTGATGTGGCTTCTGCAAGTTGCAGTAGAAAGATCCGTCAGACGCCTTGCTCAGTTCCATAACTTAGAAAGGTCCCCGCACTGCTCACTGGAAGGGCTACAGTACTAGTCAATTGTTTGCAGGATGGTTTTAGAAGTTGGGCTCTTACAGGTTCATGTTTCCTCTGGATTGTGGGTGATTTGAAGGAGAGTTGCTGGGTGCAAGTCTGGCATAGTCTCTCGCCTCGTGGTGCTGCTGTTTGCTTGGGGATAACCAATCTGCTCCCTGAACCTCTTCTTCCCTAGTTTCCCCCATCCTTTTCTGTCCTCTCCGCACCCACCCAACCTAACAACCCACGTGGCTGAGGGCAGCTGCGCTCCCACTGCTCAGCATCGCCCAGTGTTGTGAGCATGCGCAATAACACCGGCGGCTTCTGGACTTACCGCGCATGCTCTGCTGTGGCGCATGCCCAGTAGCTCCGAAGGAAGTTTGGCCCATTGGGGCGCCGCGCTGCCGCGGCGATGACTGTACCGGTAAACCTGCGGGAGCTGCTGCTGGCTGGGGGCGGCGGCGCGGAGGGGAGCGGCGGGACGGGCGTCCCGGCCCCCGCCGAGGAGGAGGTGTGTGTGGTGGGCATCTTCGGCAAGACGGCCCTGCAGCTGAGCTCCGAGAAGGCGGCGCTGGTGAGCACCGTGTGCGACCGGCAGGTCTTCCCCCTCTTCCAGCGGGAGAGCGCGGGGCCCGGCGGGGCCGAGCCCAGGGAGGGCGGTGAGCCCGCGGCCGGAGAGGGGGAGCCCGCCGCCGCCGCCCAGGACTACAACCTGCTGCAGGCCTACTACAGCCAGGAGAGCAAGGTGCTGTACCTGGTGCTCACCTCCATCTGCGACACCCCCCAGCTGCTGCAGGCCTGCAGGGACCTCAGCGCCGGGGACGCCAGGGTGCCGGGGCTCGGCCACCCTCCGGGCGCCCCGCTGCCCCATGCCGAGGCCCATGAGTTCTGGAAGCACCAGGAGAAGCTGCACTGCCTGAGCCTTCTCTACCTCTTCTCCGTCTGCCACATCCTGCTGATGGTGCACCCCACCTGCTCCTTCGACATCACCTATGACCGTGTCTTCAGGGCCCTGGATGGGCTGAGGCAGAAGGTGCTGCCCTCCCTCAAGGCCGCCATCAAGGACTGCCCGGTTGGCAAGGAGTGGAAGCTCAACTGCAGGCCGTGCCCGCCCCGCCTCCTCTTCCTCTTCCAGCTTAATGGGGCCTTGAAGGTGGACCCCCCACCAGGCAGGGGGCAAGACCTCTGCGGCCAGCTGGAGAAGCCCCCACCCAAGAAGCATTCACCCAAGAGGAGGTTGCAGCATGCCCTGGAGGACCAGATCTACCGCATCTTCCGTAAGAGTCGGGTGCTGACCAACCAGAGCATCAACTGCCTTTTCACTGTGCCTGCTAACCAGGCCTTTGTCTACATTGTGGCTGGTGGGGCCCAGGATGGAGAGGACCCGGTGGCCATGCTGCTGGAGCAGCTCAGGAGCAACTGCACGATGAAAGAGACAGATTCCTTGCTGGCACCCACCTTGGCGGGGCCCAGGAGATATCAGATGATGAGACATGGCAGGCAGCAGCTGTCCTTCCATGTTGAGAGTAGCAGTAGCAGCTCCAGCTCCTCTGGGCAGTTGGTGGACTGCACCCTCAAGGAGTTCCTATGGCAACATGTAGAGCTGGTGCTAAGCAAGAAAGGCTTTGATGATAGTGTGGGGAGAAACCCTCAGCCCTCTCACTTTGAGCTTCCTACATATCAGAAGTGGGTTGCTGCAGCTCAGAAATTGTATGAAGTGGCTATTGAGGGGAAAGATGATGACCCAGCTTCCCTCACTGGGGAACTGACTTCCAAAATTATGGGAAGCATCAAAGTCTTGGAGGGGTACCTAGATATAGACACCAAGTTTTCTGAAAACCGTTGCCAAAAGGCTCTCCCCATGGCCCACAGTGCCTACCAGTCCAACCTGCCCCACAATTACACTATGACAGTTCATAAGAATCAGCTCGCACAAGCCTTGCGTGTGTACAGCCAGCATGCCCGGGGACCAGCCTTTCACAAGTATGCCATGCAACTTCATGAAGACTGTTACAAGTTCTGGAGCAACGGGCATCAGCTGTGCGAGGAGCGAAGTTTAACTGATCAGCACTGTGTGCATAAATTTCACTTACTCCCAAAATCAGGTAACTAAGCTCAGTTGCGTTAGGATCCTTTTGCAGTTTACGTTTACAAGTTTTAAGCCATAAAATGTTTTCCTTTCTGACTGGCCACTGAATTTTAAAACTGGCTTTATTTTAAAAGAAATACTATTAGGTACAGTAGATCATAGACTGTAAAAATAGGTCTTGTGTCTAATGTTAATCTTTATGAAAAGTGCAGGAATGATGGGTTTAGATTCCATTTCTCTGTTTATTGAAGGGATAGTTATAGCAAAGGCTGTGTTGCAGCATTCACTTAATTATCCCTACTGATGTGCCCACTCCTGATTGGGAGTGTCCACTCCCAGGAATTGAAAATAGTTGAGTTTCCATGGTCAGTTCAGTCCTTGCTGTCTGTGCAGAGACTGCCAGTTATGGTGGTGTGTGCAATGTGTATACGTGGGATGGGACCACCAAACTCATTTCATAGAGGACAGAACACAGTAATCAGATGGTGGTAACAGGTGTATTAGAACTAGTAATCTAGAGGTTAAAGACTCCATACCCTATTCTCAGTCCCTTGTGTCATCACTTGCCCCCCCAAATGTAACTTTGATTTAGAACCCCTCCCCCCAAAAAACTAATTGCTACTTGGTGTGAATAAGGGTTGCAGGATTGGACTCATTAATTACTTGGGTTCTCTCCATGCTAGTTGGACATATGTCCTTAGAATCCTAGAATATCAGGATTGGAAGGGACCTCAGGAGGTCATCTAGTCCAACCCCCTGCTCAAAGCAGGACCAAGCCCCAACTAAATCATCCCAGCCAGGGCTTTGTCAAGCCTGACCTTAAAAACCTCTAAGGAAGGAGATTCCACCACCTCCCTAGATAACCCATTCCAGTGCTTCACCACCCTCCTAGTGAAAAAGTTTTTCCTAATATCCAACCTAAACCTCCCCCACTGCAACTTGAGACCATTACTCCTTGTTCTGTCATCTGCTACCACTGAGAACAGTCTAGATCCATCCTCTTTGGAACCCCCTTTCAGGTAGTTGAAAGCAGCTATCAAATCCCCCCTCATTCTTCTCTTCTGCAGACTAAACAATCCCAGTTCCCTCAGCCTCTTCTCATAAATCATGTGCTCCAGCCCCCTAATCATTTTTGTTGCCCTCCGCTGGACTCTTTCCAATTTTTCCACATCCTTCTTGTAGTATGGGGCCCAACATTGGACACAGTACTCCAGGTGAGGCCTCACCAATGTCGAATAGAAGGGAATGATCACGTCCCTCGATCTGCTGGCAATGCCCCTACTTATACAGCCCAAAATGCCGTTAGCCTTCTTGGCAACAAGGGCACACTGTTGACTCATATCCAGCTTAGAAAGATGGTTTCCTAGGGAGGTGCAAATGCTATTTTAAAATAGAGCCTTACTGTGCAAGGAATATATATAAATAGCCAGAAGAACCATTTGTCCTTTCAAGCAAGAACTGGTAAGTGTCATGGTTAAGGCCTAGGTGCACCTTTGATCTGTCTGAGTGCATCCCCTCACATCTTGCTTTCACCTGGTAAAAGGACAACACAATTTTCACACTCTTAGATCTGGTCACTGGGCTACAGCACACTGTGTACCACCCATGATTACTCTGCAGGCCTGACTGAGCACCAGTGGTTAACACAGTGACCCAAAACAGCCTCTTCAAAACAACGTATTGTTTTATCTTAACAGTAGGAACAAGGCATAACAAGAAAAAAGGATTTCAACACAATAAAAGGTCTATATGCATATTTGCCTTACTTAAAGGTTTAGTAGTCCTAGTTAATCCCTGACCCCTTTGCCTCTAGGGATTGGGGTTCAGTCTACTCCCCAGCAGTCTTTGTCTCACTTTTTCCTATCCTTCAGGGACCATCTTCTTATCCATCCAAACTTCACTGTTCCAGTTTCCTCTGCTTGGATCCCCCTATGGGGACTCCCAAGCCAGATTGTTGAAATCAGCTTGGTCAGAGGTAAAATGTAAAGTAAATGGTAGTTGCATTGTCTTTTAAATATTGATAAATGGGGGGCTATCTATCCTCTGCTTAAATTAACCCCTTGCAGTCATATAGCAAACACAATAACAATCAAATGGTGGAACATAAATTATTACATAGCAGCTCCACATCCTGCACAATAAGCAATTGGCAAGAAAGGCAGCTCAGTGTGTACAAAGGGCTTTTGTAACTGGTTGTATAACAAACACAAGGAAAGGGTTTGGCAATTTTGGAAAGTAATTTGGGGGGAAGTATGAGGGATCATTGCAGAAGAGGGTTGAAGATAGCCAAATTATACAAGAATCTCTCCAGATGGGGTGAAGCAAACACCAATTAATCTTGTTACTTTTTCAGGGGAAAAACCAGAGCCAGATAGAAACCCTCCAGTGTTGTATCACAACAGCCGGGCTCGCTCCACTGGTGCCTGTAACTGTGGGAGGAAACAAGCACCCCGGGATGATCCCTTTGATATCAAAGCAGCCAATTATGACTTCTATCAGGTAATCATTAGCTTTCCATTTTTGCTTCAAAGGAAAATATTATTTATTAAGCCATAGCTATGCTTGTGCTATACAAACAAGGCACAGCTTATCCTGAAGAGTCCAAAAAAAAAGTTAAGAGGTGACTTGATTGTGTTCTATAAATGTCTATGGGGGGGAAGAGAAAAAGTGATTGGAAGCGGAAGCTAGCCAAATTCAGACTAAAAATAAGGTGCATATTTTTAATAGCAAGGGTAATTAACCATTGGAATAATTTGCCTGGGGATGTGGTGGATCCTCCGTCACTTGACACCTGTAAATCAAGACTGGATATCTTTCTAAATATATATTTTATAGTTTTAACAGACGTTATGGGCTTGATGCAGGAATTACTGGATGAGATTCTGTGTCTTGTGTTATGCAGGAGATGAGGCTAGATGATCATAATGTTCCCTTCAGGCTTCAAAATCGGAGCCTAGGTCTGAGACAGACAAAACAGTGCAGACACAACTAGTACCTAGTGTTCCAATAAGAGTTAGAGCTGGCATGGGAGTACTGCATAGCCTTTTTTAAAATGGTCTTTGCGTTAGTTTATGTTAAGGAGGGATTTGATGGAAGAAAATGAGTCCTCTGACCACAAGGCGAGAGAGAGACCTAAGTGAAAAGGGGGCATGGGAGAAAGAAGGGAGTTTTAGGCTATTTAAATATTACTTTTTTCTTATCCTGCTCCTGTAAGACCCAAGCAGCTTTTACTCCTATTGCCTTAACAGCAGTTGAGTACTCAGTACCTTGCAGGATCAGACCCAAGCCATCTGAATAGCTTGGTGAACAACCTATTCATTTTCCATGAAAGCAGTAAACTATGGGCTTTTCTACAATCACAAATTTGTACCACTTTGACTATACTAGGATAGTTAAAGCAGTACTATTCCGTACCTTCCAGGTGCTTATATTGGTGTAGCTTATAAGGGAAGGTGTAAGGCACCTTTATACCAATATAACTGCATCCTCACTAGGGATTGCACTGATCTTTAACTGTTTGTGTACAAAATCATACCCCTAACCAAAATAGTTATACTAGTACAAAAACAGTGTGTGGACCAGGCCTAAGCATAACAGTTATGTGCATAGTGTCTGTAGTTCATTCAGAAGTGCACTGGTTCCCACTTCACCAAAAGAGAGCCTCTAAATATTTGCTTGAAGCTAGATTGCCTTGCCTTGTTAATACTATAGCTTATTCTATTAAACTGCATTCAGTTAGTTTTGTGATTCAGAGCTATGTGAACATTGAGATTACAGATGACAAGTTAACTGTGTTCCATCTTTCACAGCTGCTGGAAGAGAAATGTTGTGGGAAACTGGACCACATCAACTTCCCGATATTTCAGCCGAGTACACCTGATCCAGCACCAGCCAAGGATGAGACCTCACCTGCCCCTCCAGAAGGAGAAGCTGAGAAACTTAAAGAAAAAGAGCCTCAAACCCAGGGAGAGAGCACCAGCCTGAGCTTAGCCCTTAGTTTGGGTCAATCCACGGATAGCCTGGGCACCTACCCAGCTGATCCTCAAGGTGGAGGAGACAATGCAGAGGCTCACGGGCAAGCATCAGAGTCTAAAAGCGAGAAGAGGCCAAGCTTGGTAGATCGCCAGGCATCCACTGTTGAGTATCTTCCTGGCATGCTCCATTCTAATTGCCCTAAGGGCCTTCTTCCCAAATTCTCTAGCTGGTCACTGGTCAAACTTGGCCCTGCTAAGGCTTATAACTTCCACACAGGCTTAGACCAACAGGGCTTCATCCCAGGAACAAACTACTTAATGCCTTGGGACATTGTCATCAGGACAAGAGCTGAAGATGAGGGAGATCTAGACACTAATTCCTGGCCTGCTCCTAATAAAGCTGTTCCTGGGAAACGAAGTGCAGTTGTAATGGGAAGAGGAAGGAGGAGAGATGACATAGCTCGAGCCTTTGTTGGATTTGAATATGAAGACGCTCGTGGTCGGAGGTTCATGTGTTCAGGGCCTGAGAAAGTCATGAAGGTGATGGGTGGTGGGCCAAAAGAATCTGCTATAAAAGCCCTTAATTCTGATATGCCCTTATACATCCTCTCATCAACTCAGGGACGAGGACTTAAACCATATTATGCTCAGTTTATAAGACTCTTTGTTGTGGTGCCAGATGCTCCACTGCAGATAATACTGACACCTCAGGTAAGAAATTAAAAATACAATCTAGCTACCTGTAAGTGACTGTAGGAACTGCAAAATGTAACTCTAAAAAGTGTATTAACAACACTTATTGTGGGACACACAAAGGAATGTAGGATCCTTCATCGTTGAGGGGGTAAGAGGAGATAATCCAAGAAGTTCCTTCCAACCTGAACCAGGATTTAATTACAGACACTCCCCGTTCCGGAACATCTTGCGTAAGTCAAATTTTGAGTAAGTCAGGAACGTATACCTGACAATTATGTTGCGCGCCCCCCACCCCCAAAAATAAAATAAAATATATGGAACTTTTTCCGTAAGTGCGGATTTGCGTAAGTCAGGTTTGCGTAACCCGGGGAGCGTCTGTAATGTTCTTTAGGTCAATCCAAATTGGTATTGGCCAAAAGTTGTTGGATTGTTGCCACCAAACCCATTTCTCATAGGCCAGTTTTAGTTCAGAAATTCTCAGCAGACAGACGACATGTAAACCACCACCTCATTGGGAATGCTCCTTGATATTTTCAGCCAAGGACTGAATGGGGAATGAAGATAAGTCTCTTCTCATTCCTTAGGGAGAGTCCCTGCAGATCAGGTTTGAGTACAATGGTGGTGTGGGGAAGTTTGCCGTGTAGTTAAAAATGCTGTACGTGTTCTGTAAGCAAATATTTCTTCAGTCACCAAGACCTGTTATGACTTTAGCATTTGTTAGCATAACTTTCTTCTTAATACACATTTTATCACAGATGACATAGTGGGGTTCCAATAGGTTGAAAAGACATTTTAAATAATATGCCACAAAAAATGCATCAGAATAACCTGCCTTTTTAAAAATAACTACTGAGCAATGGGAACATAAATTAAAAATTAAAATGTCTTCACAGAAAAATGGTGATTCATGGCTAAGTTGGATTTTTATCTTCAATTCTCTGAACTCTGGGGACAGAGAATCTGTAGAATGAAAAAGATGTATTTTTCATCTATTTCTAGATGCTGGGAAAAGGAAATTGATATTTGATATATGTGCCCACTTTTTTTTTTTAAGTAATGAAATATGAACAAGATGTGTTTTCCAATAGTACTCTGTCATGGAATAATCTTACCATTTATATAGCACTTCGTAAAATATGGCAAAAAAATTTCATTTGTTGGTACCGAAAGTAAATAATACAGCACCACTGAAATGCAGCCAGCACACAGTATGTTTATATCAGTTGTGGGGAGAAACCATCTACTCCCCTAAAGTGCCCTGGGATCATTCATATACCCATGTTCAAAAGAGATTAATTCAAACTTGAACAGAAAAGTGCTTCTAGAATGATCTGGGGAATGGGAAGCCTATATCATATGAGGAGACTAAAAGGTGTCTTGTTTAGTCTAGCAAAATGAAGGCTGAGAGGAAATATGATTGCTGTCTATAATTGCATTGGGCATGGGCATCAGGGATGGAGAAGAGCTATTTGAGAGAGATAGGTTGGAAATTTAGAAGGTTTCTGATCAGAGGAGTGAGGTCCTAGAACAGCCTTCCAATAGGAATAATGGGGGCAAACAACCTATCTAATTTTAAGATGGAGCTTGATAAGTTTAAGAATGGAATTGTATGACTGATTTGCCTGTGATAGCAAGGGACACTGGACTCAGGGTCTCAAGAGGTCCCTTCCAGTACTATATTCCTACAAAGCAAACAGAACCTGTTTTAGAGGAGACTTTAAAGACCCACATACTAAATTGTTTTTTGTTTTGCAAGTTCAAGCAGGAGTAGTAATGATTAAAGCTGCACACAGCAGTGAAATGGCACCAATTACATACACGAAATGCAGTAACTTCACTTCAGTGGTTAAGATTCAGTTTTGTAGTCTAACCTTTCAGATCCGCATTTAACTTCCATGAGTTTTGCCTGTGTATGAGCTGCAAGATCAGGCCCTAATGGTGATATTTCAAAATTCCCCTTTAGGGTTGAATGTGGATGAAATGGCAAGGAAAAAGCTAAATCAACTAGTGATACTTATGCCCATAAGTGATATGATTTCTAAGGCCCTTGTCCACCCTGTGAAAATCTAATATGCCTAAGGAAAAAATTACACCACATCAGTTCTTGACCTGGTTAAGTCACCGCTCAGTCTTCTAGTGCAGTTGATAAACAATATTTTAAGTGCTCTTGAATCACGTTACGGTCCTGAAAAATCCAAGGTGGTAGAACAATTTGAGTCACAGTTGAAGCAGTGTATTCTTGTCTGCACTACACGGATGCAACTGGGTCCCTAAATGTAGATTTTTTTTATTTGTTTTTTGGTAGTGTGAAACAGGGCCTTAGTGATCTGATGCCAAATCTGCTATCTTAAGTTCAGCATCTTGATCACACTGGGGTTTGAAACTTATTTCCTTTCTGGCAAGAACAGCATTTAAACACTGTCTTCTAAAAATGCACTAAAGTGGCTTCAAACCGCATTTTAGTAGAGACTTAATAGACCAGTGTGGATTTAGTTATTTGAGAGGGTTTTATTCCAATAGTTTGCTGATTTTATCTTTTAAAGCACTTAACATATTTCCTACTCTGTTGTTTTTTTCAGGTTCAACCAGGGCCTCCGCCTTGCCCTGTATTTTACCCTGAGAAACAGGAAATAACCCTCCCGCCTGATGGACTGTGGGTGCTGCGATTCCCTTACGCTTATGTGACAGAACGTGGACCCTGTTTTCCTCCTAAAGAAAACCAGCAGTTAATGAGTTATAAGGTTGTTCGAGGAATACTAAAAGCCATTACACAATAAGAATTATTCTGGTACATTGGTCCTGATTTAAGGTGACTTGTTTTTTCAATCCAAATTATGGATTTTGATTCCTGACTGTTGATACTTAAACAGTAATCACTGCTTGGTATAGTGAAACCACTGCATGTAAAGTGAATAGGGTCCAGATTCAGAATAAAGATCTGAGTATCAAAGTGGAGAAAGGAACATGGCAACTTTCTCTGTGTAAGAAATCAGCTCCTACGCCTGAGTCAAGGTTAGGTGTGCTTAAAAAAAAAAAAAAAAAATACAAAATACTGACAACTGAAACCCGTTCTAAAACAAGTTTAAAAATTAAAAAACAAACAAAAAAGCCCTAGTAGCATATAACAAAAGGTTAGAATTTCTCCCAGTTTGCACTATTATGGCAATTAAAGCAATTTAAAAAAATTAAAAATATGTCTACATTTGTGGATCAGACAACCAGATCTTGTTTTTCAATTAAAGCACAGAACTGGAATTGTGATAAGTGGCTTCTTTTCCCTTCCAATTATTTGCCATGGGAAATTACTCAAATGTCTGCTTCATTTTCTGAACTATAAGATGCGGATAATACCTCCCTTGCTTCTTGAGGGCTGCTATGTGACTTAATGCATGAAAGTTTAGAAAGTGCTTTGAGATCCTGGAGCAGAAGACTTAAGAAGGAGTCAGATTACTAAATTGTTCAAACTTCTTCATATAGCAATTGAATAGAGAAACATCATTGAGAGGAGAAGAATTTGCATACACAAACTGAAATGATGTTTAAACTGTTACTGGAAGAAGAGGAAAATTCCGCTGGGACCAAAACAGCTGATAACAGTTGATGGTGTTTGTAAAATATCATATTTGAAAGGCACTTATGGAGTATAACACTTATGTACAAGAATACAGCTGTAGAGAGATTAGAGCAGCTGGCCCATTGGAAGGCTCTTCCATCTCAAATAACTCTGAAGTGAAGGGCTTGGTTTTCAGAGAGTCAATCTCATATTCAGATTGTGTATATGCTGTCATTGATCATAAATTACTGAACTTTAAAGAAAGGTAATCTGTTTCATTTGAGGAAGAATGTGGAGTGGAAATATCTTATCCAGGATAAAATGGTGCAGATTATGTTGTCTCTGTGGAATAACTATTTACCAAGATTTTGCCATAATTGATAAACTCATAAATGATCAGTACATGAAGACTGGGTTTAGTGCAGTTTTACACACATTAAATGGCCAAATGCAGCTTGCTTCCAATTCAAGCAAAAGAACAATCAATCTTTCCTAAACTCTTAACAATTTCCTATCCAGTCTCCATTAATTTTAAATGTCTAGTTGTCTGAAATCTATCAGACTTTTAGATCTTTATCCCACTTTTGGCCTTGGTATGTGGGAAAGTTTGCCTCTAACCTTTTTCAGGTGGTGTTGTGAGAGCTGGTGCACTTAAACTCCAGAATGAATTGAGGATTATGATAATATAATAGGCACTGTAGGTCTCCCTCTATAAAACAAGCAAAACATTACACAAATTCCTGGGTTTATGGTGTTTATTGATCACACCTGGACTATCAGTCACATTGGTACTGTCCTCCAAAAAGGAAAGTTTAACAGAGAGATTATTTTTGTTGATCCCAGAAACCATTCTTGCAATAATCTTTTAAGTATGATTTTATTTTAGATGGGGTTTTATAGTGCTGGTTATTAAACATCCATAGTGCTTTCCATAAGAAGAGGCATTCACAGGCACACTCAGTCAATTGTACTTCAGTCACTTGTTTTACACCAGTTGAATCACAAGCAATTGGCTGTTTCCAGGCTAGCCACCCTCTGCTGATTTACCCTGTGTCCATATTAGGGCTGCGTTAAACCCAGTGATGTGCATGTGACTGGCATCTTTAATCAAAACATTCTCAATCATCTCCATTTCTGTGCGGGTGCTACCTCTTCCATCCCAAGTAGGTGAAAGGGGTAGCACCTGTGGCTGCCTGGACGATGGGATGGGGGAGAATGTAAGGATGCCCATAGGCAGAGGTTTAAGGGCTGTGGGTGAAAAGTTATAAAACTTGACACAAATGCTTATATGCTGGGTGGGGGAAAGAGGTGATTCAAAGATATGCTCTGCCTAAACCACTGGAGAAAGCAGGAGAGGGTTTGAGGTTCCCCTCAGAGGCTGGGGGGAGGAAGCCTAGAGGAGCACCCCCTTCTGAGGTGAAATGGGGGCAAGCCCCTCATCTATGAGGGATGGGAAGGGGAATTCCTTCCATGGCATAAAGTTCCTCTGTGCTGGGTGACAGGGTTTAATCTTGCGATGGGGAAAGAAAGAGGTCTAAATGCTCTGAAGAAGGGAGGAAATAAGTTAATTTGTCCTCCTTGGGGGAGGAGCCCTCTCAGGTAAGATAAAGGATGAGGGGTTAACCCCATGTGTGCAATAGCAGTACAATCTGTGGGGAGGTGATTAATCCACCTCCTGGGATAGTGAGCGGGGGGTGAGGTTAATTTCCCTCCTTTGTGTGGGGCAGGGAATGACCTCAGGGAAGGTGAGACCCTGGAAAGGGGGACTAACCCCCCTCCCCTGTGTATATGGCAGGGGGAGGGTTTAATCCCCCTTGGAGTGGGGGGGGGGCTGAGTCCCCTGGGGGCAAGAATGGGGGGTCAATTCCCCTCAAGGGGGGCTGAGCCCCCTGGGGGCTAGAAGAGGGGGGGTGAGTTCCCCTCGAGGGGGTGGGGGTGAGTCCTTGAGTGCAGGGGACTGGACTAGATGACCTCTCGCGCTCCCTTCCAGTTCTCTGGTTCTATGAGCCCCCAAGTGTTAGAACTGGGTCAGTTTCCCCTCAAGGGAGGGCCGAGCCCCCTTCTCGCGCGTGCGGCTGCGCGCCTGCGCTGTCCGCTCCCTCGCCCGCGTTGCCGGGGGGGAGTGGCTGCGGCTGCGCGGGGCGGGCCTTTGCGCGGCTGCCGCAGGCCGGCCGGCTCGGTGGGAGCGGGCAGGATGGCCGGCGTCGCCCTGTATCTGGTCTCCACGCTGGGCGGCTACCTCCTCACCTCGGCGCTGCTGCTCAAATGCCCGGGACTGCTGCACCGGCCCAAGCGGCAGCGCTTCCGCTGCCGGCACATCTCCCACCGCGGCGGTGAGACCCGGGGCTCGCGCGGCTCCTGCGGGGGCTGGGTCGTTTCCCGCCGTAACCATGAGGGGCCCGGGGTCACCTCTCGCCTCAGGGGTTGGGGGGGGGCACCGTGAAGGGCAGGGAGGCGAGGGATTACCCCTCTGCCTGGCTTTCCCCGATGGTGAGAGACTCCCCTCAGACCCTTCTCCCCACGGCCCGGTCCTTGTTCTTGTGGGAGTGGGGCTCAGCCCCCAGCCGTGCTGCCCCTGCAGGGTGCAAGCCGGGCTGTGCCGCAAAGGGCTTGTAATCCCCTAGGCCGACGCGCTGAGTTTGTGTCACGCTGATCTGCCTGTTACCTGGGGCGGGTTGGCTCTGCTAGGCAGCTGATAGCCAGCTGTGTGTGTCTGGCTGCGTGCAACCCAGCGATTTCCATTCGCACTGGGTCTCTCTCTTCCTCTCCCCCCTCCAAATCTTCTCCCCAGCACCCCATTTTTAGCCCCGCCCCACCGCCTAATTGTCCTTGGTTTCAGGGTTGAACAAATTCTCCAACTCCCGGCAAATCTCACATGGAGCCACCTGGCTTTGCGTGGAATCCACATTTTGGTGGTTTCTACCCCAAACTCAAACCGGGCCCAGATTCACTATACGTTTTTTCTTTGTGAAAAGTGTGATCTAGTGGTGAGAGCAGGGCATTGGGAGTCAGACTTCTGGGTCCTATTAAAATAATGGAAACATTTCCTAAAACCTAATTTTTACAAAATCTACATTTCTGATTACTGATTGACCTAAGTAACTTTGCTCTTACTGTTTTCTAGGGTATGTTAGTTAGCATATAATCAGCCTATTGATTTACCTCCTCCATAGTTGCACCAATCAGCAGCTTTAAAAGATAATTCTTATTCAATAGGATGGTTATCTGTTAGGCACTTCTATGCAAACAACCTTTACCCAAATGAAGGATAGTGTGTATATGCTGCGTAGTACAACTGGGGCAGTAGTAGTAACCTCAGGATACTGAAACAGCTAGTTCACCATGTAAGACTGATACTGTGAGAAGTGAGTTGGATGTATATATAACATAGTGTTTGCTAAATAAAACTTCTTCAATCTACTGCTTTGGATATATTGTCAGGACCTTACTGTGTTACCACTATGAAATTCAGAAATCAAGATATCTCTTAACCTGTCTGAGTTTCTCTGTACTGAGATGGCTGATCAAACTCGAACCCTTCTATCTCAGTTTACAGCACCAGCATAGAATTCCTCATCCATTATTTGTAGATAATCTTCCATTGGTCTAAATTTTGAAATGGTAAATCTGAAAGATCAGTAACTGAGCCCTGATATTCTATGCTAGAATCCATGCAGGCTGTGCAGATTGAGTTGCAGCCCATTGAGTTGTAAGCCCATTCCTTACCAGTCACACTCATTGCAAATAGGCATCCACTTTGTTACGTTTTAAATTGATAATGAACTATATTTTCTTGTGGTCATTGGGGGTTTGTACCGAATCGATTATATGTACGAAGTAGAGGGAGGAGAGCCTTCTTATGTCATATATGTTTTTGTAGAATTCTGTCATCATCTAACTTATCCATGGGCTCTGTTCATGGCTCTCGTCTGCCCTACATTGATGTTCTCTGAAGTAGAATGTGAAATGAAAATCTCTAGATGTGGCCACTTTGGCTCAGTGCCAAGTATGGCAGGGAAAGAGGTCTTTGCATTTGTTTGGACCTTTGGCTATATAGCTGACATACCAAGTAAGCAAGCAGTACATCACTATGGAGAGGTACCTAAACACATAATATGTCAGAATACATGTAGTAAACCCAGCCTTTGCATTTCAAAGGAAGGAAGATGATTCATTGCAGCAGTTAATTTTCTTGTTTCAGTTCCTCTGTCACAAGTTAGTTCATGAAAATTGTGTTGCAGAACTAGGGCTCCTTTTTCAAAATATTACAAAAGACATTTACAGGGAATTTGACAGGGTGGATTTGATTTAAATCACTAGTCAGGAAGACTTGATTTAATAATGGATTTCTACATAAAAGTGTATTCTTTTTGGTTGCTATAACCTTAATACATATTCTTCACAACTCAGAGATAGATGTAGGTTTCATTTTTAGAAGGCACACACTATACTTTTAGAGAGAGGTAAGGGATTGACTCTGTACAAATTTGCAGAGGGACAATAGGGTTGAGGTCTGTTATTTCTCACCTCTATATATTATTTATTTATGTATTTAAAAACATTTTTGCTATTAACAAGCATGTTATCTCTGGAGACACAAATCCACAGTTTGAGAACTGCAAAACTAAGCATCTCTGATGGTATTTTCTAGACTGAGCCCTGAGTCCCATTGGGTAGATAGAAAGATTAACCTAAATAATATATACAGAAGCCCCTGGAACCCCATAAGATTGGGTCCCTAATCCATGAACTATTGGAACTCATTTACAAAACTTTTCTTAAACATTACATGAATATATTGTCTCATACTATAGAATTAGAATTTATAATCCCTATTCCATGATAAGATATCTTTGAGCTATAACATATCTTAATTAAAACTATCTTTAGATAGGTTTTTCCTTAAAAAGCATTTTATCCAAAAAAAATCTGATTTTAAATTTAAAAAATCGTGGTTTTTTTTGTTTTGTTTTGTTTTTTAAATCATTGATTTTTATCCACCCTGGAATCTGAAAGATGACATGGTAATTCTATAGAAAGGACTTAATTAATCCTCTGGTACTCTCCCAGATTTCCTCCCTACAAATTCAAAAAGTTTTGTCTCAATCATTAACTGTAGCCTTTTATATTTCTGAGATTGGGCACTTAGCCCACGAGAAAATTGTTGATCTGATGAGGAACATAAAAATACAGCAGGTACATTTTAAACATTTTTCGTGGTATTAGCTGTGTAATTTATCATTAATCCTTAATTTCTTATGTAGTATTGAGAAACAAAATGGTTTAATGAGTACTTGAACAATTACCCATATTAGTTAATGAGTGAGATGAATCCTTTAGTTGAAAGACCATAGGACAAATATTTTTTTCAGGGCTAAATTTCTATTGACTCTGGTAAAGGTAACTTTTTATTTATTTATTTATTTATTTTAAACAGTGATTTTTGTCAGAGTTATTAGTGACTGGAGTCTGTGATTAAACTTATTTTTTTCTGAGAACTACTGGTGCAGAGCACTTGGTAACTGTGTGTCCTAGATGTCACACAGGGCCTTCTTCTCATTAAACTGTACATGATTGCACTGGGTAATATAACCTGTCAGCGTGGTCTTAAATTTCATTCTTACATTCCTGAGATGCACACATTTTTTAATCTTCCTTCTGCTGTCTAAATTCTTGCACCATGTCCTTTACTTTGGCCTTTGAGTACCTTTGTCTTGCTTGCTAACTATATTATAAGGCTTGGCGTATAAATGTGTTTTAAAATGAAATTCAAACAAAATAGATAATACCAGGAGGATCTAGTCAACAGTTGTAATTTTCTATCCATCATGACTTTTCTGTGTAGCCTTCTCCCATGCTTGAAACTTTAGGAGGAATCATCTCCTCAGCTGACATCTGACTCCTGTTTCTGCTGTGGAAAATCCCTGGTCACTTCAGATATGTTGCCAGAGTGCAACTCCCATTTTTCTTGCTGATTTTGTTCATTGCTAATGGGTTTGTTTCATCCCATTCAGACTGTTGTAATATTCTCTTTTCTCACTGCATAACCACCTGACTTCAGCTGGTAAAAACCCCTATGCTGGGAATCTGGCTAGCAGCAGGCCAGGCAATAAAACTCCAGTTCTAGCTCAGCTACCTCCTTTGGCTGTTGGGTTCTGTGTTCACTCCACTGCCTTTGGAATCTTCAACCAACTTTCTGTTCTGGCTGTTCTTTAAACTATTCTTTCTGCTCCCCAAAAGCACCCACAAGCATGATTGTCTGCTGCTGATCTATTTGTCTCACCACTACCTGTACCATGTGGCTGGCCACACCCATCAATTAAAGCCTGATTTGTGGACTTCCATGCTGCTTCTGAAAATTAACTTGATTTTTGCTTTTGTTTTCTCTTTACATTTTGGGCTTATGGACTGTGTTACTACAGCGAACTCAAAGTTTAAGATAGTTTAAGATTCTTGTCCTCATCACTAAGGCCCTGTGTGGCTTTGCCTTATCTAAGGAATTGAGTTAAGCTACATTGATATAAGCCATGTTTCAATTAAATTAAATGTGTCCACACACAATCTTGCTGTAGTATAACTAAATCAGTTTAAAATTGTACATTTAAATTAAACTGGTGCAACTTTGAATGTAGGCAAGGCCTTAGACTCCAAATCTCCTTTTATTACTTCTCTTCTGAGCCTGAATTTCATTTACATCTCTTGAATTAGCTCTGTGTAAATATCAAAACAAAATAAGGTGTGAAGTTTTTGAACAACTCTGATACTCAGGTTTAGAAAACTCAGGTTTAGAAAACCTGACCTGTGAGGAAAGGTTAAAAACCTGGGCATGTTATAGTCTTGAGAAAAGAAGACTGATGGGGAACCTAACAACAGTCTTCAAATATGTTAAGGGCTGTTTTAAAGAGGACTATGATCAGTTGTTCTCCCTGTCCACTGAAGGTAGGAAAAGACATAATTGGCTTTATCTTTATATTTAGATTAGGTATTAGGAGAAACTTTCCAACTCTAAGTTTAGTTACACACTGGAATAGGCTTCAAAGAGAGGTGGAATACCCATCCCTGGAGGTTTTTCAGAACAGATGGATAGAGAGACAGTTAGGAAATGAAATAAAAAAATAATCAGTTTGTATCATGCCATCAGTGTCTCACGTTGTGTCAGTCTAACCATAGTACACTTGTTGCCATTCAACCTGTCAGTCTGAGGGTCCCACAGCCAGTGACCTCTGCAGTTAAATTCTGTGAACTAGTGGAAATGAGTGGGGCCTTGTCTGAACACAGAAGCTGCACCAGTTAACGTAAATTGGTGTCATGCAGTTTTTGTATCTGGAGTCTTACATCAGTTTAAAAGTATTTCAGTTTAACTTGCACCTGTAAATTCACCACGCTAAACGTACATAAGTTTAAATTGATATGAGTATCCACACACACAGTTGTATGGGTTTCACTAAATCAGAATAAAATATGATCTCTAGTTAAACCATTACAGCTTTGTAGAACAGGTCTCATTATCAATTTGTACCATATTCTTTATCAAGTCTCTCTCCGCCCCCCCACCCCTTTGTCACAGCTAAGAGGTAGCAGATATTTGCATAGGTGCCTTCTCCAACAGACATTGCTTCCAGATACTGTAGCTCTTGTATGTTTCCAGGTTTTTTTTAGTATTTTATGGACTATGATCCTTGTTTAAAAACAAGTGTATCTACATGCTAGGCTAATTTCAAAGGCTTGTTCAACGTTAGGGAAGGGTCAGCTTAATCTTGCAAATCTCTTTTTAGCTTACTCCTGGCTCAGAGTAAAATAGGTTTGTATATCTGTCCTTATCCCAGCTGAAACTAATATCCTTTTCACTACCCCCATGCCAGGCCTCTCTATCTTGGCAAAAAAATCCTTTTTTATGCTAATTAGGCTTCTATTTATTTTACTCAAATTGATTCAGGAAGTATCCTAAATGTAAAGATACAGGCTTCTATTTTCTAATAATTCCAACTTTTTATCAGATATGAATTTTTGGCAGGTAGAATTAAATTTGTCATAATTCTACAGTAACCTTACTCTGGTCATTCAGAGCCCAGGACTATGTAGCCAAACAGGTCTGTGGACCACCAAATGCTTTGCTGACTGCAGTTTGCGAACCTCTGATGTGGAGTTGTTGCTGAAATTTGTCCACAAAAATAAGTAAGTCTTGATTTCTCATTCTGAAGCCATATTCTGTTTTTTGTGTCTTCCCCATGCAATATAAACATGGAACACATTTAGAGCAAAGTTTTTAATGTCTCTAGAGGAAGCTATAGTAGTGAAGAGGAGTATTTTGAACACTGGCTGGGCTGTGTTGTTAGGAAGAGTAGGCTTCAAGAGCATGGTCAGTCCACTCTTTCTTTCACGGTGTTCATTCTCACCCTCTCCCTCTGTCCCTGAAATAGATCTCCTGTGTGTTTTTACTGCTATATCATGGGACCCATTCTCATGAATGAAGATACTTGAGACAAAATTCTCCAGTAGTGGGGTGTTACGCTATTGGCCTGCCATTTCTTGGGATGATGATGTTTGTTCAACTCAGTTTCTAAAGGATGCACTTTGCACCATCTCTGTCTGGAAGCTGAAATTATCTTCTCTACAGCACATACTTCCCTCATTTGAAAGGGCCTTAGGTTCATCTTAAATCCTGCAGCTGGGCTTTGTGTTAGCATGTTCAATAAGTTTAGCAATGTTTTAGTTAATCTGAAGAATTTGTCAAGAAGTCATACAGGATTCATTATTCTTGACTGATACCAGTCAAAGTTCTCTTGTCTGAAGCAGACTTGTTTTGTGGTTAGTGTCTTATTGTAGATAATTAAGTGTCTGTTTCATTTCATCTGTGCTACTGACATTGCACTTTAATGCAATTTGAAAAATAGTCTGAAGTATGTGGTATTCTAAATGTCTTGTTTGTGATTTGCAGATCATATATAATGAGGATAAAATGCTGTCTAGGGAGTTCTACAAAACAGCCTTCAATTGCTTTTTTTTGATATAGAGATACAGGTTCAGGGCAGGGCACTATATCTTGGGAGTAGTAGTCTTTGTGGACCACATATCTGTATTCTGTACTCTGTATATTGAGTAGTCTGCTCTACTTTATGCCAGTTATGTGGGGACCTCTGGCAAGTTCCCAGTATGGCCCTTTGGGGAAAGTCTGAGTCTCTAATTTATATAATACTCAATAAGAACTTCAGTGCTTTCTGTGTTCAAAGTGCTATACTAACGCTAAGACTTAAAACACTTCTATAAGTATTAGCCTCATTTTACAGATTGGAAAGCTGAGGCACAAAGAGGTGACATGACTTGCCTACGATGATACAATGAGTCAGTGTCAGGTAGGATTAGAATTCAGGATTCCTGGCTCATTCCTCCAGACCACATTCCCCCATAATATTGACATTTTTACCCATTGAATTATTTACGTTCACTGGTATATTTTTCCTCAGGGTATAGTAAAAATATCTTTTATTAAATTTGTTCTTGATGTTTTCACAGGTGCTGGAGAGAACCTGGAAAACACAATGGCAGCTTTTCGCCAGTAAGTACAAAAGGAACAAATATCTAAAATAGTCTCATTTAATAATTTTGTCTATATATGAGACATTAAAGAATTGTATTTGGCACATAGCAGCTGTTTAAGATACAGTTTTCAATTTCTATAATAATACTTTACATTTCTATAACTAACATCTGTCATCCAGGTGCTTTACACACAGTAAGTATCATCCTCATTTACAGATGGGGAAACAGAGGCACAGATGTTGTGACTTCCCATGAACATATGTTAAGACAGTGGCCGTTGGGAACAGAACCCAGGAGAGGTGATTACTATCTCCCTGCTTGAACTATGGAAACATACTGCATGTTTCTTTAATACTGCCTTTGAAAAGCTACATATTTAGCTGAATGAGACTTGTGTTATGAAGATGGCAGTTAGTACTGACCTCAATGTATTTGAAAATCAGAGTAGCCTGGTGTCAGTTCTTGGCACTGCACTTGGGCCGCCATATGGAGATTCATTGTGTTCTTTCAATAAATTACAAAGCTTTTTGCATTGTTCATGTGTTGCACAGATGTCTCTTGAAGAGATTTACTGCAGAGGGCAAAGGGAGGAGACCAAAGTGGGCTAGGGGATTCTACTCATGGCATTGTCTGGTGACTTCTGTATTGAAATTAATAGTGTATGGATGAAAGAGGAAATGTCAAACCTGGTGTTTTTTTCCCCTTGGCTTCAAAAATTAAACACGGCAAGTTAGTAACGTTCTGCATGCATGTCTGTGTGAAATTCATTCCTGGAACTGAGTCTCTCTCTCTCTTTTTGGATTAGGTCTCTTATTTTAAGACTTCCATTTATTTTCAAATCTCTTCCTAAAACTCTTCTCTCTCTTCCTCTTGTAACTACACCCTTTAACTTATTCACCATACAGTATCTTTACACAGTTGCTTTCTGTAATTTTTATCATTTGCTGTTACTAGTGAGATATAATTTGAAAGACACTAGTGTATTTCAAATAACAACGCACATCCATATGTTAATGAAGACCCGGGATTGGGATTCAGGAGACTTGGGTTCTGTGTTCAATTCCATGGTGTGGAAACCTGGGGCAAGTCACTCCTTTTGCTTTACCTCAGTTTCCTCATTGTAAAAGGGGATGATAATCCCTTCTTCACACGAGTGTTGAGGCTTAAGTTAATGTCAGCAGACTGCTTTGAGATAATTGATGGAAGGTTCATTAGAAGTGCATATTATGTTTTTTCGTATCTGCTATGTACCCGGCTTGTATGAAAGTCTTTTACCTATGGGTTTTAAACTGAATTGATATTGGGAAGTCTTTTCTAAAGCCCCTCAAACTGCAGCCTTTGAAAATGGTGAATTACCAGGGCTTTGGAGCGGAGCCTGGAGCTGGAGTGCGGAGCAGCTTCGGAGCAGTGGAGCTGCAGGTTTTTGCCTGGAGCTGGAGTGAAGCTGGAGCACAGCTCCAAAGCCCTTACAACAAAGTTCTCAGCAATATTCCAGAAAGAAACAAATCCAACATTCCTCTCAGTCACCCTAAGAGTAGAGAGGCAGAAATGTCTTTTTTTTAACTTTATTTGTATTTAACAGCCTCATTACAGTTAGTACATTTTCTTCCAGAGTATGCAGCAGTGCCAGTGTTCCTAACCAAACAGCACTATTGAAAAGCACCACAGGGCTTCTAATCTCCATGGCAGCTTAGTACAGTGGGTGGGTGTTTGTTTTTTTAAAACTACCTCTCTTTTTTTTCTTCAACTCTGTTAACACACGCTCCTCAAAGCAACCTGTTACCAATTCTCTTAAAATCTATGTAGTATATTGTCTTAAATCTGTCATTTTGATGATTTGTGTTAAAACTTTATCTAAAGTTTTCTTAATTTAAATACAACTAGCTGGGGCAAAATTTTGCATGTTTTCTCATCTGCATTTTAGTGTATTTATATATCAGTAATGTGTGTTGCATAATTCTTACCTGGATAACTTGATTTTACTATTTTAAGTTCCTACAATGCTCAGAGGTGTACAGAGTCATGGTTCCTGCCCTAAGGAATATAGTAAGAGTAAAATAGTACTTTGAGGTATTTTTTGTATTCATTACTATCTATCCCTGTCAGATTTACAGTTAATATCAGTTACATTGTAAGCTCTTCAGACCAAGGACCACATTTTTCTTATTTGTAATTTAAAGTGCCCAACATATATATAAACAAACACACACACACATACACACAGAGATTTTAGGTTTAAAATTATTTCTAAACACAGCGTGATTTAAAAAAAAAATCTTTAAAATTATGTTGGGACCTTGCGTGCAAGGTGCTATAAGAATCACAATAGAAATCTTAATTGCATGTAGGATACAAAATGCACCTTAGTACCATGTCTCTGGGATCTTGGCAGGAGTCAGATAAAGAAGCTATCAAGAGATTGACACGTCTTTTCACTGGGTTTTAGTTTCTTCTTCTAAAGCTAAATTGTTGATGTGAGAGAGTTCATTAGAGAGTTCGCTGGGCTTCAGGAAATAAAAGAGAACTTTGTCAGTCTGGTGTTTATAAACTACAGGCATTGCCAAATGGGAATGCATCTTTAGGTTAGGCCTTCTGTTCTGATATCTTTCACTACTTGGAACAAGTTGGGGCTTTATGAAAACAAACAGCTGTATTTTTGTGAGTTTATCCCTAAACCTAAAAAAGTCTTGCTTGGTCGGGGTTTTATCATTAGGTTGTGAATGAGTCTGTTTGACATCTCAGGTACTGAAGTGGTTGTCCAGCAATACCAGAATACTTTGTATTTTTGAGTCGAGGGAATGTCTTGTCTTTTTTAGGGCAATGTGAGTTTGAGAAGTTCTGACTGTGCTGTAGAGGAGCCTCACATTTCCAGCTGAAACCACTAAGTAGTAAGAAGAGAAACCTTCTAGTAGTAGCTACTAGTTACAGTCTGGCAAACACTTAGGATCATTGACAATAGGAACTGTTGTTTTCCTGCTTCCATTCAGCAATAGCTCTGTGTTTTTAAGCAATACTATCGTTTGATAACAAGTTTGGATATTTAATGGTAATATATGATACTGGACTGTCATTCATGAACTTGGCCACTGTCCTGTAATATAGCTAGAAATGCTGTTTTTTCCAGAGACCCAGTCAGCTGAAACCAGGCTGAATATCAGAGTATTCTTGATATTGTATTTTCTTCTCTTCTCGCACGTAATTATTGAGACTGAATGATAGCTAATAGCAGACAGGTTTTAATTTGACACATTCCTGGTTCTTGATCATCATAACAGTTAGGTCAGAAATCATGTTAAGTAGCCTTATGGCAATATGCTACAATGTTTGTTTGTAGTGTTGCGTATATATTATGCTTAAATCATAAAAGGCCAGATTGAAATCAATGAAAAGTCTCCCATTAACTTGAATGAACATTGGATCCGGCCGAAAAATGCTGAAATCAAGCCACACTGGTAAATGTTTTAAGATTCATTGTCAAACAGCTAAGAAAAATATTCTACTGTTTTAACCGAAAGGCTTTCAAACTTTGGCTTGTATTTCTTAACTGTCTGGTGTAACTTAACCTCCTGGGTCTCTTTTATGTTGATAGATGGAGAATTCAATTTTCATTGGAGACTGGAGCCCAGTTTGAGTTTAATATTTTTAATTTATTTATATCCAGCAGTTTTTTAAAAAGAATACTTCTCTGATTTACCTGCACCTGTATTGAGAGTTCATAGAAGTTTTGATACTAGGGTTATGATAATCTAAATAATAGAATGGAAGATATGTGGCAAAGTTCTCTGCACTGCTCTGAAAATCTAAACCTGGATTTTTGTTAGTGATTGTTTTCAATTATTTAATGAGGTGGAGAATGCTTAGATAAGAGGTTTGAATGCTTACTTTATTGACCTCATTTGTCTTTATTAAAAAAGTAATATTTTTGTGTGTATGTGTAATATGCCAAGCAATGTACCTTCCTTGTCAGTCTTAGGGCTAGTCTACACTGGCAATGTTAAAGCGCGGCCGCGGCAGCACTTTAACATGCCTTGTGTGGTCTTGGCACAGCGCTGGGAGAGAGCTCTCCCAGCGCACTAAAAAAAACACCTCAACGAGAGGCGTAGCTCCCAGCGCTGGGAGTGCGGCTCGGCTCCCAGTGCTGGGGCACTGTTTACACTGGCGCTTTACAGCGCTGCAACTTGCTGCGCTTAGAGGGGTGTTTTTTCACATCCCCGAGCGAGAAAGTTGCAGCGCTGTTAATTGCCAGTGTAGACAAGCCCTCACTGACAAAGCAAGAAACAAACAGATTAGAGTCCTTACTGTGTCCAAATCCCTAGTAATTTTAGATCCTTGAAGAGGCATTACATAATGTGTGTACTTGTCACTATTTAACATTTGACTACTTGTTGATGGTGGTAAAATGAGGTCATATCTTCCAAGGAAGTGATATTTAGAGCTTTAAAAGTCAGTGATTGACAGTTTTTACAAACTGGTTTCAGAAGCTTAATTTATAAACCTTAATAATATATTGCAAATTATTCCTGACCAATCTGCTCTAATTGATTTTACATGTAGAAATTAGACTCTCAAATCTAATTCTGGATTTTTTTCAGTTTATGTGAAATAAAACTGTAAACATAAACAGATGTATCAAGTTCAACTAACTTAAATTTTGTTTTATTTTTTTAATTAATACTCATCAGTCTTCTTCATTCTTTCACCTTTCCCTTCACAAACAAAATGTCCATCAACCCTTTCCTCCAGGCACCCACTATAAGAATACAGAGGGAATTTAATCTCCTGGGTTTGTTTAGTCCTTTGCCTCTCAGATGAGACTATCAGATGTGCCAGTTATGGAATTGGTTTTTGTGGTGTGGGCCCCTGTGCACTAGTAATTTGATTGTAGAGTTTGGTGATCTCATAGGTCACCTGGGAATTCTCAGATGGTAACAGCTTTTGTTCAGTACTAACCTGAGCTGCATTTGGGCCAGTAGCCAAAAGGTGCAAGGCTGCATCTCCCTTTGCTAATCCCCTGAGCCATCCAGTCCCTGCTAACTTAAATCAGACAAGCTTTTTAAAACGAAAAGAATCACAGTACTGAAGTGTTCAATATTTCTTTAGCTGTCTCTTGTATGTCATTTAAAGAAATTTTTTTAACACTTAAAAAATCTATGCCGTTCAAATAATTTTCATTAAAGAGAGTTTAAATTTATAATTTTCCTAACAGTAAATATGCTGAGGCTAGAAAGTGTCAGATGCCAAAATTACTAAACTGTGACCATGGAGAGTGAAGTACCCTGTCATCCTTAAAGTTTGTCCCTCTTGGTTGAGAGAGATTAGCAAGACTGTGTGTTGAGGCTTAGACAGTACAGGGGAAAAAATACATGATCTGCACAGAGGCCAGGGAGTCAGGAGCGTCCAAGTTCAAATCCCTGCTTTGACACTGATTTTGACACTGGTCTTGTGCAAGTTGTTAACTTTGCTGTTCCTCAGCTTCAAATGGTATAAATGTAAATAATTTAAAGTCTCTTGGTTTCACCAGGACCAAGTTCACTGGATAAAAGTTTGTGTGTTTATAAATTATTTGTGCATCCCACAAAGTACTTGTGGTTCAAGACTGCTTTCTGGCTTGCTGCAGTGCAGTTAATGTGGGGACAGATATGTTGGAGCTAGACTGTCATCTGACGAAAGACGAACAAGTAGTGGTATCGCATGACGAGAATCTGAAGAGAGCAACTGGAGTTGATGTCAGTATATCTGACCTCAAGTACTCGGTAAGTTTAAGAAAATTAAAAAACAAAACAAAACAAAAAACACCTAATGGTTAAAAAATAGACGACAGATATATATTGCTTTGTTAAGACATTAGGCTAGGGAAGGAAGCAAAGGACACTGCACTTGTGATTTCCAAAGTGTGTGTCTTACATTTGTAGAGTGTCCTTCAATACCTAAGTACTGAGCCATTGTTTTAAAAACACATCTCTTGGAGAACTCTAATTTTTCCTTAACATTTTAATAGAATTACCGAAGTCTTAGGCCTGGTCTACACTGGGTGGTGGGGGAAATCGATCTAAGTTACGCAACTTCAGCTACATGAATAATGTAGCTGAAGTCAATGTACTTAGCTCTACTTACCGCGGTGTCTTCACTGTGCTGAGTCGACGACTGACACTCCCCCATCGACTCCGCTTCCGCTTCTCGTGCCGGTGGAGTACCGGAGTTGACAGGAGAGCGCTCAGTGGTCAATTTATCGCGTCGTCTAGACTAGACGCAATAAATCGACCCCTGCTGGATTGATCGCTGCCCATCGATCCAGCGGGTAATGTAGATGAGCCCATAGATAAAAATTTCAAAATCATTCTTTGGTTTATTCAGTCGCTGCTAGGGTAGCTCTTAGAATATTCATTCTGCTTTGTGTCATTGTGCAAACAACTCACTAAACCATTTCTAATACAGAGGCAAGGAGACCTTATAAATATATACAAAATGTTAATATCTTTTCAAGATAATCAATGTTTATATGATTTGTGGCTTGAAATTTGTTATGTTCCATGTGTTTCAAGAAAAACAATGACTGTGTGTATTTATGCTAATGTTCATTTTTTCTGTTTGTTTGTTTTTTTTAAGGAACTCCCACCATATCTCTGCAAATTGGATGTCACCTTTCAGAAAGGTAATGTTTTTGTTTCTTTGTAGTTAAACCTATCATTTTAAATTGCAACAGCATTTACAATATTTTTCCATGAATTAACAATAGCATAGTTCTTATTCTGGCAAATGGAATGGAAGATTGTTTGTTTAAATCATCTGCCTTGATTAAAAAAAATTGATATAATCCACATCAGTGGGTAGTGATTTAATTTAAGATGTTTACTCGCAAGAGAGATTTTCCTGTTCAGTTACTTGTGCAATACGTACATCCACTTTCCAATTCCCCTGTGATTTCTTTTAAGATTGTTGATTCATGGTCCCTGATATGGGAGAGGGGGAGGGAGAAAAATGGTTTTTCTCTTTCCAACTCACGGCATTTGGCTAGTGTGTTACCTGCTTGTGACTTCAAGAGACTTTTTGGATCTACTACACTGTTCTGGTAGAGACTTCTGCAATATGCTGGCTGACACAAATGCATTTTTAGCAGAAGGAATGGAGAGAGTGAGTTGCTCTGTTAATGGATTTAAGAGAAGCACCGATATAGCTGTGAGAGGAGGAAAGCATATCAAATGGTGAACATATTTCTCCTGAAAACAAGGTGCTGATTCTCAGGCTGCTACTTAAATAGATCATGTTCACCATGTTGACAAAATCAAATTAAGAGTAATTCCCCCACCTCAAAACCTCTGAAGACTTTATCAAATGGGCTAAATTGAAGGACTTAGTATCTGTATTTAGTATTAGTGGTCCTCAACATTGTTTCAAATATGCCCAAGGTTATTCAAGATTTCCATCGAGAATCTTAAAGCATTTCAAAAACACCAAGTGAAGCTTCACAATTATCCTATTTCCCAAATGAGGAAATAAGGGTACAAAGGTCAATTGACTTGCCCAAGGTAACATAGCATCTGTGGGACTGAAACCTGGATTTCCTGGCTCCTGTTCCCTTCTCCAACCACTAGATAATGCTTCCCCAGTAAATATAAGTTTAAGAAGAGAATACACTTTCTTAACTAGATTATACCTATCTATTCTTCTTTCTATCAATACCACCTTCTGTTTATCCATTAAATTATCCATTAACCATTAAATTTAGCAGGTTGGAGCTGTTGGAAGTCGAGGGTACTTTGGCCATGACCATTAATTTAGGATTTGAACAGGGTGGGCATTGAAATGTTGGTGATGATGATGATCATTATTTTTTGTTCTAAGTTGTTTTGAATTCCATGTGTTGGAGTTCTGCTAATTGACAGCCAATTCATAGTAGCTTTTGGGATAGGATGTGTCATCCAAACCACACTCTGGCATCATGGCAGGGTTGGTGTGAACTGTATGTAAACCATTCTTGATAGAGAAGGAGAATGGAGGGTGGGAGTTCTATTCTAATTTTTAATATCTTGGATCAAAGAAAGCATTGTAGTGCAAGCGATTCCCCATTGCCCCTCCTACAAGAACAGGGTGCCTGTTGGGGAAGTGTCCCCGATCCCTGTGCACATAGGTAGTTTGAGGAGCAGCTTCCAGAGGTAAGACGTAGGTATAGTAGACACTGATTGTAGCAATGAGAACTGATGTCATAGTCACTATCATGCTACTACACAATTGGACAGCAAAATACAAAAATGCATTCTAGTTCCAGTTAATAAAAATGTTTCTCATTCAGTGACCTTAAATGTGAAATTTAAAATGGTCTCTTACCATTACTGGGCAGAATAGCACTTCAACTCATAATCCTGTGATACAAAACTCTGCTACACCATTTTCATGGGATGGATTTTTATATTTGCCATTTGCCACCTGATGAGTTCACATATCTAGATTAAAAATTAGAACTAAATGTGTATATGCTTTCCAGATTCCTATAAAAGTATGCTGGTCCAAGAGGGTTTATTTTGTTCCCCCAAGTATGAGCATCTGAGGGTAGCTTATTGCACTGTATGCTGGACCATAGGATTGGCCTTGATAATGATTTTGATTCCCCTAGATAGTTGCAGGGTTTTTTTCTCATTACAAGGAGTATGCTGGCTTTTCAGAACTATTTTTCTTTTAGGTCCTTGATCAAAATGTTGAGTGCTCTATAGATTTGCTTTTATCTGCAAAATATTGAGAGGCAAATCATAGCAGTGACACAACTCCATTTGCTTTCCCAGAATGCCACTGTGAGGGTGAAGACAATCGCATTCCACTGCTGAAGGAGGTGTTTGAGGCATTTCCAAATATTCCAGTCAACATTGACATCAAAGTGAACAACAATGTGCTGATTAAAAAGGTGCACCACACAGTACCTGCTGCCCAAAACTAGCACCTTGAGTTGCATTGGAATAAAGTTGCGCAAAGGTCACATCTTATCTGTACTTGGATAAGAGACTACAGGAAGTAGAACTGATGATTCAGTAGAAGGTGGTGGTCTTCTTTGAGTACTTGTTCATGTCAATTCCAATTAGGGGTGTGCATGCCGCATGCACAGTCGTCGGAAAGTTATCCCTGAGCAGCTCACGTTGGGTCGGCTGTGGAGCCCCCTGGAGTGGCGCCTTCATGGCGCTCAATATATGATCCTGCTGACCCAGCCCCTCCTCGGTTTCTTCTTACTACCAGTGATGATCGTTGAAACTGCAATCACTTGCCTAGCAAGTGCTTCCCTTAGCATTCTTTCATATAGTTAGTTTAGCCTAGTTTATTTGTGGTTAGTCCTGGTTGTTAGTAAATATAGTGAGGTTTGAGAGCGGGGTTTAAACCGTGCGGAACCTGCAGCAAGCCTATGCCAATGAGTGACCTCCACGACTCGTGTCTGAAGTGTCTAAGGGAAGTGGACCAGACAGAAAGGTGCAAGATCTGCAGGGCTTTCCAACCAGAGCTAAAGGAGCGAGATTTCTGATTGAAGCAGTTGCTCATGGAATCTGCCCTTCATCCACCGTCTGCTGTGGACCGCCAAGACCCTGTCCCTCTTCAGGGACCCTTTTCACGAGCAACTCCTTTTCCAGGAGGTGCAGGCGCCCCACGCAGCAGGGGCAGTGGAGGAGGTTCTTCAAGAACTATGGCGCAAGGGATTCTATTCCTGTTATTTCCTAATCCCCAAAGCCAAGGGGGGGTGGGGGTCTCACACCCATCCTAGACCTGCAAGGACTCAACAAATTCATGATAAAGTTGAAGTTCTGCATGGTCTCCCGAAGTACAATTATCCCTTCTCTGGATCCGGGAGACTGGTACGCCACTCTCGACATGAAAGATGTGTACTTTCACATAGCTATTCGACCTGCACACAGATGATTTCTACAGTTTGTGGTTGACCAAAAACTTTATCAGTTCATGGTCCTCCCCTTCGGCCTGTCAACAGTTCCCCGAGTGTTCACCAAGTGCTTGTCGGTCGTAGCAGCCTTCCTCCGGAGGAGGCAGGTGCAGGTATATTCCTACCTCGACGACTGCCTACTACGGGGGCGCTCCAGGGAGCAGGTAGAGTCTCAAGTCTGATTAGTCAGATCCACTTTCAAGAGACTGGGACTCCTCCTCAATGTGAACAAGTCAACTTTATCACCGACCCAAAGAATAGAATTAATCGGGGAGGTGCTGAACTCGGTACAGGCAAGGGCGTTCCTTCCAGAGACCCGATTCCAAGCCATAACAGACATTATTCAAAACCTCAGGCGGTACCCGACCACTACAGCAAGAGAATGCCTGAGTCTCCTTGGCCACGTGGCAGCCTGCGCTTACGTGGTCCGCCATGCCAGACTGAAGCTCAGGCCACTCCAGGCCTGGCTCGATTCGGCCTACCGCCTGGGGCATGCCATCCTGGACTCAGTGGTCATGGTACCAGAGCAAGTACTCGAGTCCCTCCAGTGGTGGCTCGACCCTCAGACAGTGTGTGAAGGAGTCCCATTCAACAGCCCCCAGCCCTCCTTGTCCCTGGTAACGGACGGGTCAGCTCTGGGTTGGAGTGTGCATTTGGGAGATCTCCAAACACAGGGTCTATGGTCACAGGACAAGCTCCCCCTTCATATCAATATCAAGGCACTCAGAGCAGTACAGTTATCATGCCAAAGTGTTCAGGCCTGACTACGAGGTCATTGCTTGGCAGTGATGACGGACAACACCACTGCCATGTTTTACATCAACAAGCAGGGTGGAGCCCGTTCCTCCCCCTATGCCGAGAAGCCTTCCAGCTATGGGAGTTGTCCATAGCCCACTCGATTCACCTGGAGGCGTACTATCTCTCAGGAGTTCAGAACAAACTAGCAGACCACCTCAGCAGATCGTTCTGCAATCACGAGTGGACCGGACGTCATACACTCCATCTTCCAAAGGTGAGGGTTTCCCCAGGTTGACCTTTTCGCCACCAGGAGCAACAGGAAGTGTCCAATGTTCTGCTCCTTCCAGAAGCACAGTCCTGGCTCGATCACGGACGCGTTTCTGCTTCCCTGGGGAGGCTGCCTGCGGTATGCCTTTCCCCCAATCCCTCTTGTGCACAAGTACTTCTCAAGGTCCACAGGGACAGAGCGGAAGTAAATCTAGTGGCCCTAGTGTGACCCCGACAACACTGGTACACCACGCTCCTGGAACTGTCAGTGGACACTCCAGTCGAGTTACCACTGCACTCCGATCTGATCACTCAGGACCATGGTCGCCTTCATCACCCAGACCTCCAGTCCCCCCATCTCACGACCTGGAAGCTTCATGGTTAAACCCCATGGAGCTCCTGTGGTCAGAACCAGTAAGGGAGGTCCTACTTGGCAGTAGGAAACCATCTATTAGGGCCACATATCTAGCTAAGTGGAAAAGGTTCACTTGCTGGTGTGCCCAGCAACATATACAGGGGTCTATACTACTCATTCTAGAGTACCTTCTGTACCTGAAATAACACATACTGGCAGCGTCATCCATCAAGTTACATCTTGCTGCTATCTCAGCCTTCCACCTGGGAGCATCTGGTAGATCCGTATTTGCTAACCCCAGGGTAGGCCATTTCCTCAAGGGTCTGGTACACCTACATCCTCAGAGTAGGCAACCTGTCCCGGCATGGGACCTCAATCTGGTTCTCTCCAAATTAATGGGGTCCACTTTTGAACTGTTAGTGACTTGCTCCCTTCTCTATTGTGGAAGGTAGCCTTCCCGGTCGTCATCACATCAGCCAGGAGGGTGTCAGAGCTAAAGGTCCATACCTCCGATCCACCCTATGTGGTCTTCCACAAGGATAAGGTGCAACTCGGGCCTCACCCAGCTTTTCTTCCCAATGTAGTGTCACACTTCCATACTAGCCAAGACATTTTTCTACCTGTCTTCTATCCTAAGCCTCATGCCAGTAGTCAAGAGCAGAGGTTACATTCATTGGATGTTCAACGGGCACTAGCATTCTGCATCAAGCACACTAAGCCGTTCAGGAAGTCGAACCAGCTGTTCGTAGGGGTAGCAGACCGGATGAAAGGACACTTGGTCTCATCTCAAAAAATATCTTCCCGGATCACGTCTTGCATCCGCGCGTGCTATGAGCTGGCCAAGGTCCCAGCCCTGGCACTTACGGCATATTCCACGAGGGCACAGGCCTCAGCAGCGGTGTTCCTGGCCCAGGTCCCGATACATGAAACTTGCAGTGCAGCAACGTGGTCCTTGGTACATACATTCACCTCTCATGCTATTACCCCGCACACCAGAGATGATGCAGCATTCGGTAGAGAGGCGCTCCAATCAGCGGTTCCTTAACTCTGACCCCACGTCCGGGGTGGAGCTAGGGAGTCACCTAATTGGAATTGACATGAACATGTGTACTGTATGCTAGCACTTAATAGAAGAGAGAAACCCCTGATATGGCTGGCTGGTAAAGCCCGCCTGGTTTTTCAACAGCATACATGCTCCACCAGGGTACCTTCCCCAAGAGTCTTTATTATTTCTTGCCTTATGCTCCATGTACAACACAATGTAGCAGCAGATAGAAGGGGCCTCCCTCCTGCTGCCTGGCTCAGCCTTTTATACTGCTTGCTTTTTTCTCTGAGCTATCTAGCTCATGAGCTAATTACTTCATTAGCTCATCAGACTCCCTACAGGTGCAAGTGATCTCCATTAACCTTTCAAACCCAATCACATTACCTAACTCCCTCCTACTTTAACTACACCCAGTGCCCCTACGTGTCCTAAGTGACCAGGATGCTGGTTCCCAAAAGGGGCTCTGTTTATAGCCACTAACACCACCATGTCTCAGTATTTTTTATCTCTTGTCCTGAAATGCTGTGCTGAACAGCTGCTGCATCGCGTCCTAGAAGTGGCGGTGTTAAAGTGGTGGGAGAGAGTATGAAGAGCTGTCTTTTTCTGAAGGATCTCTTTGTTATAATAAATTGCAGTATATTGAGCTCCCAATGAATAATTCTGCAAGTGATGTAGAATAAACGTATCTCAAATGGGTGGTATCGGTGAATAAATGTCAGGATTCTGCTTTTTGATTACTGATTGCAGGTTTCAGAGTTGGTGAGCCAGTACAAACGAGAACATTTGACAGTGTGGGGCAATGTCAATTATGAGATTGTGGAGAAGTGTCATAAAGAGGTAAGCACCAAGAAATAACTATGCCCTAGTTAAGGATCAGTCTCTCCACCCAGTCTATCTGTTACTGTGTGGTGATTGATACAGTATTTTTCTGTAAATGCTGAGTATTTAGCCATTTACCCAGGTTTTTCACCTGTGGTCAGAACTGTGGTACCAATATGGTATTAACTCTTCCATACATTAAAATATAAATTAAATAAAATATTGACACTTCCTTTTTTGTCCTAACTTTTTAAAATGACTTATGTTAATTTTTATACATATGAATGTATTTAATTGATGCTTGAGAGTGAGACCCACACGTTCTTCTCCCACATCTTTCTCTGACCTCTTTCCTGGCTTCCGCTGTCTTTCCCCATCAAGTTGAATATTCTCCTCCCCGCTTTCAAGTCTCTCTACTCCTCCATCTCTTCCCACTCCCCATCCTACTCTTACAATCCTACTGAAGTTCTCTCCTGATTCCACGCTGTCCTATTACACGCTTTAATTTGTGCTGCTAGTCTCACCAATGGCCTTCCAGCTGAGGGGTACCAAGGGCACTTCCTCTCCTTCACAGGTTTCCTGAAAACTCACTTGCTCTGTGAAAAAACATTCAAGTAATAAAGCCTACCCACAACTGTCTCTGCTGTTCTGTTCTGGATTGTAATGTCCTGGGTATTATGCCTTTAGGCTGTAAGATGTTTGTGGGAGGGACTCTTAGGCTTGATCTACACAGTCTTTACACCAATTTAACTACTTTGTTGGCGGTATAATTTTTCTACTGAAAGTAGTTCAATTTGGACAACACCCCTAGTGTGGGTGCAGTTAGGGTTTGTCTGTACAAACAGTGCCTGGCAAGCTGGGATGTTAATCTACATTGTGCTAGCCTGCTGTGCACTAACTATCCATGTGAACCCTGATGATTGCCAAAAGTTCTCTAGTGTGCTTTAATCTACTCCTATTTCAAAGCTCATAGTGCATACAGAACCCACAGTGTGCGGCAGCAGGGTCCACAGTGACACTTAGTGTGCAGCAAGCTACTGTGGGTTTGATTTACACCCCAGCATGCCAAGCACTCTGTTTTCATACAGACCGTCCCTTATACTGGTGTAAAGGTGACTTATGCCGATACAGCTTATTCCTCTTCCTGTACAGGAATAAGCTATACCAGTTACAAGCACCTTTAATACTGGTATGATTGTGTCTGCAATAGGAGAGTTGTACCACTTTATAGTTAAAGCAGTACAACTTTTGTGTGTAGATACCCCCTGGCTTGTTTGGTTTTTTAAGCAAGATGTACACACTGCACAGTAGTATTGCATACATCTGTGATATGGGATCAATAATACTGGAGGAAAACAAAATTGGTGGGGTGGGAAGAGAAATCAATCTATGGAGTGGATTGTGAGTAAGGACTATTACCTTTCTCACTTCTGCCCTCTGAATCCTGCTCTCTTCTGTTCCTCAGAGTCTTTTATTTTCTGAATGTCTTTGTTTCCCAGTCACAGCTGAGACGGATTTGCAAGAATGGCAGCTGGTTTCTCTTGTCCGAAGCCCTCTTCCCCAGGCTGGTGACTGCCTTGGAGCCAGTCAGAACCACACTCAGTAGGCACCCAGTGGTGCCTGGATTTCTCCCCTTTTGGTTTTCTGGGAGGGTGCTCAGCTCATCCGTGCTCTGAAGCCGAACAGCACCCCTTTGTGCATGCGCAGCTCCTATGGTAATGGAAATAGGAGAGACAGGAAGTGCTTAGTGCCAGAATGTCGTCCTGGTTTTCCCCAGAACTTTATCAGATTACAGAAGCAGGGAATGGAGACCACAGGCAATGGCTGGCTCTTTTGCGGCAGCTACTGCCTCTTCCAATTGCTTGGAACTTTAGCTGGGACTACACAAATCAGGGGCAGACCCAGCAACAGTTGGCAACTCTGCTAGATGTTTTATGTCTTTAAGCACAAATGCTAAACTTTACAACACATTGATTCACTGAAAATTGTTTTGATACAAAAGTTTCAGCAACCTGATAAATAACTTGCATTATTTTTCTACGTGTTTTTACAGAACGCTGATATTCCTATCCTTTTCTGTTTGAAACGTGTCCTGCTTCTTGTTGGCTTGTTTTACACTGGTCTGCTGCCATTCATTCCCATCAGGGAGGAATTCTTAGAAATTCCTATGCCCTCAATCATCCTGAAGTAAGTGATTTACACACTCATCAGGCTGTCATTCCAGTGAAATAACAGCAAGGCAATAAAATGTCCGTGCAGTCTTGGACACTGATCTAGTTATATTTCTCCAGCTATGTAGGGTCAATTTGGGGCAATACTTGTATGGGAGACTTCCAAGGAAATCTGAATGCTAAAATAAGTGGTGTTAGTGATCTAGTATGTGGCACTGTTCCCTTTAGTCAGTATTTAATTAGTGCATTTAAACATCTAAAGATTCCATCCCATGTCTAGCAAGAGTAGAGGGTTTGACTTCAGTGTCCAGGCCTGTTTGGGTAATTGATTTCAGGTATGCTTCCCCTGTTGTCCTAAATGTTTGTGTAGTGTTGCTGCGTGCTATTAAAACTAAGAGGTGTCTGCCTTTCAGAGGTGAGAGAAATAATTACTATATTTAATTATTGGGTAAAGTGCTTTTGGTAAAAGGCACCGTATGAATGTAAGATAATATCTGTGGTCAGAGAGAGCATTTCTTCCAAAACAGATGAAGATTCATGTATTCTCTGATGTGTCTTTTGTGTGTGTATGTCTAAGCAAAAGTCTTGCTAAATTTCTATTCTTTAGTTAAGAAACGTCTACTTGACATCCTTGAATTTTTTTAGTGGTTAGCGGTGGGATGTGTTTGTTTAACTATGTGCACCCAGCACATTTCCTGTTTACAGCAGTGTCCCTAACCTATCATCCCACAGAGAAAAGCAGCTCTTTGCAGACACCACTTATGCTGAGGTTAGCTAAAGAGCACTATCTAGCATTTATATAGTGATACATTCTTCAGTGCTGCAAAAAGGAATTATTCTGACACCATCTACCTACCTTTTATCAGATGTGGAAACTGACACAGGGATGAAGTGAGCCAATGAAGGCCAGAAAGCATGATATTATCAGAGCTTGTTTTATATCTCAGGATCTCTTGATTTCTCATTCCTTTGCCCAAACCATTAGTTGAAATTGCCTCTAGGTCTCCATCTCTCCTGCCTTCCACCTAAAGTTACTCATTTCTCCTATGTGGCACAATCCAAGTCATTGGTCTCAGAGCCAGGGGAAGATTCTTCTTCCCATACTCTTCTGGGTGATAGAGAAACTGCTTTTGAAGTCACAAGACTGATCCATCACACTTCCTTTGCTTGAACATAGTCTGAAATGGCACTTTTCTGTGCTGAGGTAAATTTAAGTTCCTTTTTCTTTTCTTAGGCTGAAAGAACCAGAGATGACGACGAGAAGCCAAAAATTTGTTATCTGGCTTGCTGATACGTAAGACTTTAATATTTCCGTGGTGCACTTCACTTTCTATATACATTGTGATTATTGCCTCAAGTGACTAGGACAGAGTTACTATTGTGAAATTAACCATATTTGGTATATTGTCAAATTCTGGTATCTTGTATGTTTGAGGTAATGCCAGTATGCATCTCCTGCAGCACATGGGGGAATATCTTTTGTAGATTTATATTTCATATTACATGTACATTTATACAGTGAAATATGCATGAAAGAGCACTGCCACTCGGCAGATTATCTCGCTTATACCCATAAGATAATCCTGAATTACTCTATTTACTTTAGTGGAGTTACTCTCCATTTACATGGGTGTGAGTGGGTTCAAAATCTGGTCTCTTACTTCATGTGGTCATTTCATGGTATCCACAAGATATCCTATACAGCTTTGCTGGACCTTAAAAGATAGTGTTAAATGTGTGTCTTCTGCAGGGTCACTAAATTCAAAAGTTGCAGGAGTTGGACTTGATCTAATAAGTCTCTTTTTTTGTCTCTCACTACTTATGTAACCCAAGTAAAGATCTCTGATAGGCAATCTGGTCTAATGGGAGGTCACTTAAGAAAAGTTTCATGTCTATTAGCATCAAGGATGAAGTTCTTCTTGAGGCTAAAGAGGATTCTATGGGTATAAATCAGATAAGAATCCTGCCTAATGGTGGTGCTCCTTAATTCATATTTCACTGATGTTGATGTAGAGTGGTGCTGCTATAAAGTATAAAGACCCTTATTTTTTTTATTTTTTTTTTTTTTAAAGGATGCCTACTTGGAGTTGAGCTTGTTTATGGAGAGAAGAGTTAATGAATCACAAAAATACACTGCTAATGCAAATAGTTTGGAATGCTGTTTGCTGTGCTTCCTAGCTGTAGCTAGGTTGGAAGTTTTCATTACTTAGGCTTTTAGGCAGAGTTCCTCATTGGAAGTCCATGAAACTGTGTGACATGGAACAGTTGCCACAGAACATACAGATGTTGAGAATTCGCCATGATCTAAGATGCCTAGCATGCTTTGGGTCCTGTAAAAATAATAATATTTTTTTCTCCCTGCTGCAGATTGTTAATGAGGAAAGCGTTGTTTGATCACCTCACTGCTCGAGGCATTCAGGTACAGTGTGATAAAACTAGAAGTCAAGCTGTTTCATAGTTACATGGCATTTTGTTAATATTCTTAAAAGTTTGACTCCATCTTCCCACTACCACTCCCCTTGTTCCTAAAAGTAGGCCTGAAGATAGGAACTGAAGGCAGTTAGAACTTAGACCAGCCAGATCTTCCTAATAACTGAAGGGGTTCTCGGTGTGTACAATTTTACTGTAGGCATCATCTTTATTCAAATCTTACGGTATTTATAAAAGTTGCAGTGGATTAAGTGAAGCCTTGCATCTGATTACTAATTAATATTTGTAGTTTACTTTTCACTACCTACTTGTTTGACATTTTAATATGAAAAGGCTTTTAACAGATTTCCAGATGAAATTACTTTCTAATAAGGCTCCATGCAGGGAGTGGAGGTGGGGCAAGAGTATCTTCCCCCAAAGTATTTATTTAAAGGGACTTTATCAAAATAAAAGCATTTTAAATAAATTCCTTACTTTGTTACTAATAACACTAGAGATTATCCAAATTGAACAGAGTTTTAAAATCGAACTAGTTTTTCACCACTGGTGTGTACTTTTTGTACCTTGTTTGTCACAGGCAGGCAAGCTAGATTATTAAATACTATTCTGTTTGTAGTCAGATTTATAGGTTTCATGTTCTATTCTATAGTCGCTTTCTGTTTCTCAGACACTAACACATGCACTGTAAAGAAATATTTAGATGCTTGGGAAAAGCCCTTTTAACTGAAAACCCTTTTTTTATTTTATTAAAACGTCTTTTCATATTTGATTTTTTTAAACCTCTACAAACCTGCTAAACGACTTGTCCCTTATTAGCTTTGCATTAGCTAATACTGGTTTTGCTAATTGGGAACGTCTGAACAGAGAGACGCACGTTCTTCTATAGACCGTTAGAGGTTGAAGTTTGTCATTTGTCATTAGAGAACTTCTTTTCCTAGATTTGCAATCAAGTACCTGTTTTTATGTATGATGTTGACGTCATGATTATGTGAGCATCTTGGATATACCTGGCTTCCCCTTTCACTAATATGAAACTATTTAGATCATAATTTTCCTTATTTAATTTTTGTGCACATTTTCTTTTAATTTTAGTGACTTCCTAGATGATCTGTCCATTCTGTACTTTTGTCTTTAGGTGTATATTTGGGTACTGAATGAAGAACAAGAATATAAGAGAGCATTTGATTTGGGAGCAACTGGAGTGATGACAGACTATCCAACAAAGCTCAAGGAGTTTTTACACAATTATTCAGCATAAAGGGGGGGAAAAAATCAAGCAAGACCCTACAAAGTGGACAGAGTGAGCCAAGGATTTCATTCCTTCATCAGAATTTTTTAGCACTATACGGATAAATCACTTGCCCAATGGTGAAAGATGTAATCAGCTGGGTTATATTACCTCATTCTTAAATCATTACATGATGTAGAGATTGTATACAGTTTTATTTATTTAAAATTTTAATTGCATAGTTTACATTTGTAAATAGATTGTTTAGCAAGAGTACACTATACTAATGGTGATGTATAGAAAGAAGGCTGTGGATAAGGATACTTGTAAATAATATACAGTATTTTACCGATCACAAGTTCCCATACCCATACATCAAGAAGTAGCATTTGGAAACTATTCCAGTCAAATGCTGTTGGGTAGAGATTAATAGCTGGCACTGCATCATTGTATTTACATCTCATTGATTGAGCTGGCTGTTGATTTCCAGGTAATCTGCATTGAGGAAAAGAAACTAGCACACAGGAAAAGTAAGAAGTTGGATCTGTGGATATCTGGACAGATTACCCTGCAAAATGTAGTCAGTAAAGGTAGTAACTTACAGTAATGTATTTTGACTAAAACTAAATCCTTAGACCAACATAGGTTTACTTAATTGCTTTTATTAATGAGAATGTTGGGGTTAGTCTCCGGCTGTAATTTGGACCTCTTTTTGGTGTAATAATATCAAGTTCAGTCAATAAATCATAGTATTTTTAGAATCTAGCCCTTCTTTATGGAATTATCATATTGTTATGTTACTCTTTTTTTTTTTTTTTTTTAAGTTACTTATTGTTGACAAGGGCTGCAATTTTTTTGGCCTAAATCTGAATTTATAAACCGATGTTACTGCTATAAAATTGAAAAAGGTAATTGTTTCCAGACTTGTTGTATAAATTGCTTATATTTGTATATCTTCATTAATTAGTTTAGGTTAAACTTGAAAGGAGCTAAAGATGAAAAATCCACAAAAGGATTCATTTCTCAGCTTTCTTTCAGTATAACTAGAGATGATTTTTTAAATAATCTTTACCACAATCAGAGCCCTGTAGTTCTGGCTGGACGTACAATAGGGCTAATCTGGAATGAGTAACAGAGCAAGTGTAGCTCACTTGGTAGATAATGCCCACGATGCTGCCTTGGCAATTCGTTAGCCAGTTTTCCAGAAAAGGAGGGTTGCACTTACCATTGACTGAGGAAAACAGAATTCAGTTCTGTGTTTAAAATAATCTTTACAAAGGGAAAATAAATGTTTAGATTTTTTTTTTCTTTTTTCACTCCTGTAGTTCCAAAAGAGTTTGGAGATATTTTTAAAACTGAATTCTGGCATTCTGTTGATGCCTAATGTGAGCCAAGGGCCTCTTGGGGAGGAATGTTGGTATCAGAGAAATTCTGAGATACTTTAATCTCACTCTCTACACCAATTTTGTTGAATATATCTGCATAAAGACTTAGCATAGGAATGAATTACTTGACTGAGATGTTAACGCACAATCTCCATTGGGTAATGGATTGGAAATCATATTTAATGTGAGGAACCAAAGATGAGACCTAAGATTGGTCTGGGGACTTGGGAGCAACAAAGAAAACCGCCATTAAAAATAATTTGCCAAGAAAGACAAATATACATTTAATGTGCATTATGAACCACTGGGTCAGCACTTGTTGTGTAAAAGTCCTTTAAACAGATTTACTTAATTATCCTGCCTCTTCAAAAACAAAACAACCCCTCCGACACCACCACTTTGCAATACATATCTTGAAAATCAGAGTGGCAGTGGTTTGTATTAGCTCTGTCTCATCTTTAAGGGGATTTTTTTTCCTAACCAAAAATAATAAATTCAATATGCATGAAATTTAGACATGCGCACCGATGAAATACTGTTACTAGGAAAAGCCAGGAAATCCAGAGTATCAAGGGAAGGAGGTTGCCCTAGAAATGCACACTCCTGCTGGTGACAACGGGAAGAGAGAGTTGCATGTGTATGTCAAAGAATGGAGCTGGTGATTTCTTCTTGTGTGTTTTGGCATTACTACTTTGGCATTGTTGTTTTCATGTATTTTTGGATGATGTGGTCTGTATGTATGGAATGAGCTGTAAAAGGCTCAGTAACTTAGTCATTAGACATGACTGGAACTAAACTACAATAATATCTGCTCCTGACCTCTTTTGAGGGACTTCAGCTGTGAGAATGTGACCTCACTCAATAATAAGACCGTCAGATGTAGGAATAATATACTTACAAATATTTTAATTAAGGAATGACTTAAAATAAGAATTTTCTCCCTGCCTTCTTAAACTTGTAAGGGATATCTTGAGTCCCTCCTTAGCCTCCCACCCCACATCTTGTGCTCCAAAGCAGCAGTCTTGCAGCCTGTTAGCTGTTCTAGTGCACAAGCAGGCCTGCTTTCTAAAGTAAAGTGTTAGAATGTTAAGCTTGTCTGGATGGATGAACATTCACAGGTGCACTATAATCACCCCATGTAACAGCTACTAAATGTCATCTGTATTCTGAGGAATATTTTCCCTGAGTAGATTATATGGAAGAAACCTCTTCTGAAGAAGTTTTAAGTGAACCCACATTAGAGATTTGGGCAAATATGTAGCTAGGTTTAAATAGATGTGGATCTAATTTTGTCTTAATACAATCAATCTTATGGCATCTCAGTGAAAGAGAGCAAAATAGAAGTAATGTTCTAACAATTCAGATGAAAAATATGCATTTTCAGTAACTTGTTATATGCTAAGCTTCTAGATCTTTGTCCAGACCAGTTAAGCTTCAGCCAGATAAATGCATGTGACCATATAGTTATGGCTGGCTTGCTTTTTAGCAGAAATGGAGAGCTGCAGAATACTGTTTTGTTACATATGGGAAATGAGCCACACTCGCCCTCTTTCTGAGCCTATGCACCTGCTGCCTACTACAGTTTAATTTCTGGGCAAGCCTGTATTCACAGGAAAGTTGCCCCTGTCATTATTTTGCTAGATCAGCCCAGTGTTTGGATCTAGATACAAGATCCTGAATGATTTATTTTTCCTTTTCTGGATGCATTGCTTCCATGTTTACAACACACATGCTGTGTTTTAAAAAAAACAACCTCAGTTGTTGGAGAATAATGACCTTTATCACCTACACTTTAAAGCCAAAAGTTGTTTGAAATTGGGGAAAGCTCTAAGCTTTGTAAATGTAGCATTCATGGCTTTAAGACTTCTCAGCTATTTTCTCATAGCATGAGACTCAAATTTCCACATCCCAACATGGATGAACAGTTCTGCTTTAATTACTACACTTCTGAACTCAATATAGAATAATAAAGTGAAATGATAGGAAATTTCATTTGTTAACAAAATGTAGGTTCCAACATTTCAGGGCTTCTTCAGCCCTCTTGTGACAATTGAGTTCTTTTCAGGGGCTCAGCACACTCTGCGACCACTGAACTTCCCACATTTAAATGCCTGCAATGTTTGTAAATGGCCTGTGTCTTGATAATCCATAAATCTGTTCTAGGTTATCTGAAATTTGTTGGTGCTGAGGATTAGTGGAGGTCAGTTCTGGAAAATATGCGTAATTCATTCACTTCCACTTACTTCTGCTAAGAGCCAAAGTTTGATTACCCTTAGCACACAGCGGACACCAGAAGACATTGGCTGAATGATATTTTGAACTGCTGGTGCACAGTACTTGTAAGACTGTGATATCCCATTTATGGCTATAACAAATCATTTACTGATCTAGCTAACTATACAAGAAAACAAAAATGTTTGTTCTATTAAACCATTATTTTGAATACTCCGGAAATCAGTGTAGAGGTTTAAATGCCAGATTCTTGTACAGGTGAACATGTGGTCAAGCCTTGCACTGTTGTCCAAGAGAATGTGCTGTGTATCAGCCCCTCTGTCAGGGCAGAGGGAGGGGATGTTTTCAGGTACTTGTCATTCTAAACATTTGTTCAGTGCATTCTCTTTCTTGTGACAGAGGTATCTTAAGTATGAAGGATGCGGCAAAATACTCCATGCACTTTTAATTTGAAAACATTGTCACATGCCTCTCCTGCTGCTGGTGCAGAACTATGAAGCAATGTCTTTAGTTCTTTTTAAAGATAGGTTAAGATTTATGAAATGACACATTAAAACATGTTTGCTCAAAAAGATCTGATCTGAATAATCATTCATTCTAATTTCCTTGCCTTTATTAAAGACTGATTTCTGGGATCATGTTACTATACTCTTGAAATGCAATGAACATCAGTGATCTAGTGCTGCTCCTAGTCTGTGGGAGGGTTGTTCAGATTGGGAGATGACTCCTGTTGTGAACTTCGTAGAAATCCTTGGGGAAACTGCATTGGTTCCCTCGTATAGCGGTGATAGGTCTTGGAATAGGTCCAGCAATGCACTGTGTGCTCTTAATTGAAGGACCTGGGTTTGAACATATTCTCTGAAGTGGCCGCTGCATGCGTGCATTCAGACAGATGAAGATGCAGTATAGCAGGTCACTGATGCTAACCAAACTGGGAAAAGTCCGGCTGCAGATATTGAACATGGGTGAGTAGTAATGTTTCACCCACTAAGCACTGCATTATATGCTCATCTCACTGCCTGTGTTTGTTCTCTTGGGACTGACTGTGCTTGACAGTGACTTCAAAACTCTGCTTCATGAATGTTTAAAGAAGGCTCTTCTGTGACAATTCTCTCTGGTTGTCCTGAATTGTAATATTGGTTAGCACCATCCATCCAAGGGTATTGAGCACCTTGCACAATTAGGGCTAGAATATACACACTCCCTGGCTCTAGGTTTGAAGAGTAGGGATTTAGAATGATCATAGTCTGCTTCGGTGAAGGCTGCTGGCCTAATGCAGGAAGACATTAGATCAGAGTTTGAGTCTTCATCATAAACTCATTCAGATTTTGTAACCACACAGACCTGGCACATGATTTGCAAGCAGAAAAAGTACCGAGGAAACAAACCATGTAATTGGGGAGGTTAAAGGTAGTGAGGGGCTGGCAGGGGGGAATTTTTACAGAAGGGCAGTAGTATGAAAATGATATTGGTCAGTTCTTAAGGTGGTCATAATCTGGGAGCAGCAGCTTTGGTAAAACTGCTTAAAGTGCACTCCTCAGCAGCAGAGCTAGATGTAATAAATAAATTGCCAGGTCTGTGACTCTCTCTCCTCCCCCGTCCTGCCACTTTAAGCACTGGTTTTGCTTTTGAGTATGTATCTAACAATTCAAATGCAAGTTGGGATGATGTGAGGAGTGTATCAGTGGCTACATATATTCTAAATGTTCCTAGTCTGTCCATCTCAAATTGGCCAAGTATAGCTTCAGGTATACATGGAAGCAAAACAAATGGGTGCAGGACATGTTACAGAATATCCATATTGGCTTAGACCTGTGGTCCACCTACTTCAGTATTCTGTCTCCAACAGCAGCCATATCAAATTGATTTAGGCATCAAGAGGCATTGGCATTTCCATTTGCCAAACTAGATTATGCCCTTTCATACAGAAGACTTCCCCCACATGCTAACTCAAACTATTCTGACATGTGCAAGCATTGCACTATAGCGTTGCACTGTGTTTAAGGTAGGTAAAACTGTTTGGAATGTCACTGAGCAAGAGGAATAAAAGTGATTGTCTCAGACTATCACTACCCCTAGACAAGAATCTAACCCATTAGCCCAATGGAATATGCCGGAAAGGGACTATTTATCCAAGAAACTGAAATAGCATCCAGTATTAACTGTGGATTAAGCATTTTAATGTTAACCATGGTGGTAGTGCATATTAAGTGGGCTTAGTAAATGGCTACATCTGTGAACATATTGGACCTGAATCTGAGATGCACTGGGCATATGCAACTCCCATTTAAGTTTGGCTGGTACTCAGCACTTTCAGCGTGAGACCTATTGTTTGTATAATAGTCCCTTTCTAGCTCTTAGTAAATACATTGTTGTAGAAATTATGGGTTTTAGTTTTTAAACTACAATAACACACCACTTTGCCTCACCAGCGGCTATAAGAAATATTTGTTTATACCTTTTTTTGTATAGAAATGTCACGCTGTGGCTGGTGATTGATCTGGAGCAGTGACTGATAGGTTTATCAGAATTAGGCCATAATTAAGGTCACACATTTGTAAAGTGACATGCAGTAATAGAATAGGTCAGGCTTTCAAAACAAAGCAACAGGAGGAGCTCGTGTGTCATGGTTGTTTGAGCATCTGTTCTGACCTATTTATGTATATTAGGCTCATTCATCTAAACCATAGAATGTAGCAGTTTTGCAGATGTGGAGGATTTTGTATGTAACCTTCTGGGGGGAAAATGCGATTTTTCCCATTCTCTATGCACCTAAACTACCGTCTCTGAGGATTTAGGTCCAACAGGCTGAAAACTAGAGCAGCTTTGTAAAAGTGACATGACTGCCTTTAAAAAAAAAAGATTGGTTTCATCTTAACTTTCTTCATTTAACATTTTCCATTTGACTTGCACTTAAATGAGAAGTTGAAGGTCACTTGATACTTTGAAACATGATCTTACAATGTAGCTTCTGTAAACTGCTTTTAATGTATCCTCTGCAGAGATACCTTTTTGTAACCTCTTTAGGATACTTGGTCAATTGCAACAGATTTCCCTACAGGTGATGAATACTTCTCCTCACTCTAGTAATAAAGAACTGTCCCAAAATTATGATAAACGTATTGATACTCTCAAAGATCTGCTCTTAGAGTATGAACCTACCAAGTAATAAGTTTAAATGATGCTTCTGATTACAGCTAACCCACTTTTAGGCACAATTTCAATAAAGAGATTCTATATGTTTTCAGCATAGCTCTAAATTTGATCAAAGAAGGTCTTCATTGGAGCATGCTCATGACCATGCACTTTCTCCCAACTGGGGCAACAGGTTGTTAGTTCTATAGGCCTCGAGAATTACAATTCCACCTGTTCCGAGGGTGAAATCCTTTGAATAACACTTGAGCTGTAGATTTTAAGTTTTAAGATCTTCCATTTCAGGTGAAAACTTAAGTTCTAGGACAGTATGGGTGGCTATCTGAGGGATCAAAGCATTCCGTAGCTTTTATGTGGCAGGCTGATGGGAAGGATATTTACCCACTTGCTTTGGGGCAGCATTTTATTTCAATTTTATTTCTTGCTGGAAAATCTAACTGTGAAATTGCTGGGGTAGGAGAGACTGATGCACCACATATCTGGAGAGGAGGTGGAGTGTATGGTCTTCCTAATGTTGAAACCTTGAGGTTGAATTTACCATTTCAGAAGGGGTAACAAATCCCAGATTTGTAACATAACCCTGCTCCTGAAAAGGCTAAAGAGTATTCTAAGAAGTTTAGGCTATAGTGCATGCTTCCTTTGTGTAATGCAATACAGCTCGGCCTGCAGCTATTTTTGTGCATTACCACACGATTCCCTTCTGTCAGCACCACTGTTGATTACAACCTATGGTACATAAAAAAATGTTTTGAAGCCATTTCAGATGAATGGTATTGAGTAATGGAAAATGTTGTTACAAATGTATATTTGTGTGCTTAAAGGTAGCATTTACTAAGATAGATATTGTGCTGCAGGGTTGTATCTGCTTATTTTCATGTAATGTCATGAGTTAATTTTTATAAAGTAATGATTGTGGTAGGCCAATAAACATAAAGGCCATTTTTAAAGCAGGTTGGTGGTGTTTTTGTTTAAATTCCTATGGAAAAGATGATTGATCAATCTCTGGCTAGCAGGAAAAGCTGTCTGACACTTTAATTTGGTAAAGTATAATTTCTTCTAAAAAGCTGATTTTGGGCAATAGCCAGGTCAATAGAAAACTAAGCCATTTACTGCTGTTCACTTGTATATTGAAATTTAAGAAGCTATAGTTTCAGTGGTCCTATATTTAAAATATTTGCTGTTTTATCAGTTGAAGTAGTTCTTAAACTGCCAGGAAAAAGTGTCAGATTAAGTCTTACTAAAATATGAATAAACCTTTCAGTTTTATACTGAGTTGTGATGCTTTCCATTCCCAAGAACACCTACTTACCGCTCCACTACTTGTGTTTGGGATAGAAATATCTTAATTCCCAGGTATAAAGCTAATATAACTTCTAACATATGGCTTTCTTTGCTTCTGTATCAGTCAAATGTTCAGGGACACCAGACACAGTGGCACTGGAGATATCTGTTGTAAATAATTTGCAATAGGTTAATGTTCAAGGCTACTACAGATAAGTTGAAGCAATAAAATGGTTGTATGTAGCATTTGGTAATGAGCAACTTAGAGTAAAAAGTAACCAAATGATTTATTATTATTTTACAGTACCCAAGGGTGTGCTGGACACCTGACAGTAGAAAGGAAACTTCTTCTTGACCTGAAGAACTTATAGATTAGCTTTGGACAAAATACAATAACAGGGCGTTTAAAATCAAAAGGTACAGAGGAGTTGAGGTCGGAAGGACAGAGCTGCATCCGTAATATTATATGTTGAACAAAGTCTAGTGCCGTAGTTGGTAAAGTGACCATATAACAATGGCACCTTCTTAGGATATGTCTGCACTTTGAGTGGGGCATATAATTCCCAGCTTGAGGAAACATACTTGTGCTAGCTCTGATCAAGCTAGCACGCTAAAAATAGTGTAGCCACAAGGGCATGAGCAACAGGAGGGGCTAGCTGCCCCAAGTATGTACTCATCCAAGACACTAGGCACATACTTGGTTGTGTTAGGCAGTGTTACTCGATTGATTTTGCCCACTAAGGTCTTGTATATGTAACAAAATTGTACCAGTTTAATTAAATTATTTTAGAAACCAATTTAGTTAAAACAGTCCAACCCCTGGTCTATTCAGGCTAAATGAATACAACACTCTTCCGCTGAAATAAGTGTGTCAACACAAAGGGATTGCACTAATTGAACTACATTGGTTTCTAAACAGATGTAGTTAAATTGGACAATAGTCTCATGTAGACAAGGAAGCCTCATAACCCTCCTTTTGAGAGAGGTGCTCTCTTTTTGCAAATAGGAAAAATGAGACAAGAAAGGTTAAGCAACTACCTAAAACCACACAGCAAACTGGTATCTGAGTCAGAATTAGTCCTTGGGGGTTTCTGGCTTCCAGACAGTGCTCAGTCCACTGTACCACATTGTTTTGAGACATGATTCTCTCTATAGTTGTGGAAAAGTGAACTGGTTTGTATTCTACAGAATGGAAAAGGTAGCAGGACAAAATCTTCGAATAGCCTACCCTCCCAAAAAAGTCAATACTCTTTGTTCTGTACTTGAAAAAATCAACCTGTTTACAAATCTTCAATGAAACTCAGACTCTTTCACTGATCTTTAAGGAACTGGTTCTCAGAACCAGTTTAGGGCATCTGCACATGCAAGTGCTGATATGGTGAATGGCATACAAGACTCTCCATCTCATCCTCCTCAGCAGGGTTCAAACATGGTTCTACAATATGACTGTAGCCTGCTTTAAAAGCTGTAAACAGTACTATTGTGTATGCTTGGATTCTTTAAAA